CCATTTAAATGTACCAAATGCTTAACAGATCAGTCCAGGCAATGGCTGAGCTGAAAATTAAATCTACATGTACAAGTGAAACCCCACTCTTCAAGGCTCTGGTAATAATTGAGACCATTCTATATTCAGGACAAAGTTAATGGCATGTGTACATAATCATGTACATAAAAATGTGTGTAAGAGCAAACTCACCATGCGTGCACTAGTAACTTGAAGAAGCTTATCAGCACTATTACTTCGTGTTATTATTGTATTCTTCGGCTTTACTTGAGCAGAGATGGGTCTTGCGCGGCCAGCAGGATTTGCTATAGGCGGGGACATAGCCTGTACACAAAATTTTCAAAAATTATTTTAATCAGTTAACAAAACAATAATGAATTGCTCTATAAAGGTAAAAGTTCCTTTTTGTTTTGTTGGTAACTAGTAACAGTACGCATTAGACTGAAAAACCTGAGGCTGAAAAAATAGGTTTTCAAAAGACACTGTTGTGTAAAACTGAGCTCTTATCACATATCTTTCCTCTTGAACATACACCTGTACATATAAAAAACACTGGCAAAAATAAATGCCAAGTGGCAATTGCTGTTTACCAGTGAACCAGCATTCCAAAAATTGGTTTGATTTGTCAAAAATCACATTATTGGCCAAAATTATTGCTCTCTTTCAATGCCCTTTCCTTAAAACAGGAGTTGTCTGCACTTAGGCTAAAAAGTGATCAACTAAAACAGCAGTTTCACTAGTTTTAAAGTTTGCTATGATCCTAATGAACTATGCCAAGCAACAAAAACTACAACTTACACTATCATTTTCCAAGCTATGTCTCCTGACCATACTCTTGCCAGCAGATGGTGAACGCTGATGCTGATACTTTGTTGTTCTACCAAACGCTACTGTGACACCATCACTCTTTTGCAGTGGTGGCTTGGAAGGTGAACTGTGTGGAGAACGGTCGGCATGTACATTGCTTGGTGCTGCGTAAGAATAGTTTTCAACTTGCCGTAGAGGCTGGTATTCCTGTTGTCTTGACTTTTCAGCAGCCTGTGCTTGCTTCTGCTTCTGATCCTGAAGGAAAATTTCCCGTCTTTGTCTTCTGATGTTAGTTTTCTTCTGGATGATACTCTATACACAATGAAGAATAAAATTCATGAGGTCTTAATTGAATTGATCTTACAAGTTACTACCTCACTCACAGACCTAAACACCTCATGACACCAGTGTGATGTAAACACAAAATCTTATCAGCAATTATTTTCCCACAGACTGAAAACACTAAGTTAAAGCCTTGGTTTCAAGAGGCAGTAGGACACTTCCATGGTGAAAATTTATAAGGACTCTTATGATGATGCTTGGTGCTAACTCTAGCAAGAAATAACTCGGATAAAAGCTCAAGCCACTACAACACGTATGTAACAAGTAATTCACAACTTAGTGTAAAATAATGTACCTACCTCATAAAGTTTAACACGATACTCCTCAACAGTCAACTGTACATCATCATCCAGCGCAGGAATCACATCATAATCCATGGCAGGTTCTTCCTCAGGGTTATGAAATCTCGCCACAAAAGGATGTGTTAAAGCCTGTTCTGCTGTCAGCCTCTTATCAGGGTTAAACTGGAGAAGTTTCCTTAGCAAATCAATACCATCTGGTGGTGCAGTGGGTATCATTTCTTCAAGGCTCCTCTTGGGTTTGCAGGCCATTCTGTCCAACACTGACAAACTGTACTGTGACTTGATGCTGTCAATATCTAAAATGAAACAATCCAAAACACAGCTCAACAAAGAAGTTGTCTTATGCAAGACATGAGTCCATGCTTCTTTTAAGGTAGTATACATACATGTAAGCAACCAAAAGACTAACCAACCAAATTAAAACAAAACTCAGCAACATTCATAGCATTTGTTTAGTGAACAACTCACATTAATGTTGCTGTGAGATACATAGAGCCACTAATTTTTTGATAGTAGCATTATTTACTATTTACAGCTTACCAAAGAGTTAAATGAACTGTTAAAGAAACTATTATATTACTTTTTTATTTCTTAGTTGGACAAACATTACTCCTCTTTCCAGTACATGTGTCCTTTGGCTATGAGAACACAACATTAAAAGAAGAGCAAAGTACTGTTGATGTACTAGTGTGATTTAGCAACAGAAAGGGAACATCAGTTTAGGACGGGAAAGCACGTGAAAATGACTGAGCATGACTTCTAGTGCTCAATTTGTCGGTCTGCGATTGGTCAAGTCGAGTTTTTTATTTGCGCACACAGTTGTCACTGCTGTCACGTTGTCTTTGCTAAATCTGCCTAATATTTGTGCAGGGGGTATTCAGCTTGCATTTCCTTCCACTGGCATAAGAAGTGGCATGAGCTCTCTGGTGAGACCACTATTCAAACCAAGGCCCACCTGGATAAGCTATTCAATTCTACTAACATATTTCATGGTTACTATTTTTTGTATTCATACCTTGTCTAGATGGGGTAGGAATTACTGTCATAATTTTCTCAATCTGATCTAAAGTTGATGTGCCAGGGAAAAGTGGCTTTCCTAAAATGAAGAAATAAAGTGATTATGCAACCCTCATTAAATAACCAGTGAAATGGCAGATGTGAATATAGATAAAACATTGAAAACTATCTTGCTGGATACTGCACTTGTTAATTTACCTAAAAGCATTTCTCCTAAAATGCATCCTAAAGACCACATATCAACACCTTTTGTGTACCTGCCAAAAAAAGACAGAACATCACTAAGAAAGGCTTAAAAGATATCAACATCATTTTTACTTTTGTTACAAGCAACTTGCAGCTATGATGTAATTGAATCACATGAATGTTGGTTACCGTGGTGAAGCTAGAAGAATTTCAGGTGCTCTGTACCAGCGAGTGGCAACATAATCAGTTAAACTAGGATCACCAGCCTCCTGAGTCATGTTTGTCACTGACCGGGCAAGACCAAAATCACAGATCTGTAAATAAAAAAGAACAGCAAGGTTAACATTTTATAACACTTCAAACAGCCATGTCAAATAGAACAACCTACAATTAAATACACTGAGTCTTTCCTTATTGATACCTGTACTATCATAGACATTTCTTAGTATCACATTTCACACAATTTTCTTACCATGTAAAGGGCCATTCACTTAATATGGATCTTATTGCATGATTTGTCATGCAACAAGAGCAGTGATTTTTGCTGTGATTTTAGCACAATCTGCCTGCGAGGTTTGAAGCAAGGTATTCTGGGGCAGAGTAATTCTTATCATATGCATAAGTGTACTGCTTGTACACAATAAGAGCTAACGGAAATTGGTACAAGCCCATGCAAAAATCACCATTAAGGGGTACTAAATTTCATTCACCTAAGTTAAGGCCACAAGGCTGCCCTAAATCATGGTGAAATCACCAACAACTCCCTAAAAATCACACATACTGAAAAAAGTATTGACATAAGGTTTGACAATAAAGTCTTGAGAATGTCAGGAATTAGCAAAAACTATTGGACATATCCACAACCAATTGACTGCTACTGTATATAGAATACTCCCCTTGATTTACAAGGGCATAGAAGACAAACCGAAGACAAAATTGACACTTGAGCTTTACTTCACACTCCCCCCTTAATAATGTTACTTAAACAAAATGAGAGTACTAAAACAACAATGACTTACTTTTACAAAACATTCGGAGTCTAAAAGGACATTACTTGGCTGCAAAAATAAACAAACAAAATATGGCTTATCAACTACAGTGTACGCAGAACCTCAACTACTGTAACTAGGTCATCATTCATCATAAAGTCTATCATAACATAACCGAGCATGATGCTTTGAGGTAGCTACTATCATCATAAAAAAAAATTAATAATCAATGTATTGACATAAAATAATCCAAAAAAACAAAATACCTTCTGATCTCGGTGAATTACATTTCCAGAGTGTAAGTAGTAAGCTGCCTTTAAAATCTGTGGGAGAAAGCATTATTTTGAGAACCATCCATAACAGAACTAATGCCACTGAAATTGCACAAATACTATCTTCTTTGTTGTATATTAGGCCTTTCTGATTGTATAATGCAACCATCTGGAAAACCTACGTAATCAGCCAGCATTTTTGTACACTACCAAGTTGACCTACTTAGATCACCAAGAAATGCCTACCTAAACAGGATGTGATGTTCACAACCCAACTTAAAGCATGTGATTATTATACATGAAATTTAAATGAACTGAATTAAATGCAGGTTTTATTGAGCAATAGCTTTTGATTGTTTTCACCATGGGTTTTAAGAAAAAAAAACCTTGTACATGTAAATGTACAAAACAAATTCTTTAGGTTCGCTCAAAGAATGATGACATCGTTCAGATTTAAAATAGAATCTACTGTGGGAAATGTGTCATAATAACCACACTTCATAATATAAACAACACAAGAGCAATATAGCAAGTGCTTATGGTTTAACTGCGTAACAGATGTTAAATTGTGATCATTGCTGCTGTGTCTATCCTAGCCACAAGAGAACAAGGAACTTTTTAAGAACATGGTTAATAATTCTTTGAGATAATTTTAAAATAATAATTGTTGTAAAAGGTTTAGAATAGAAGAGCAATAAAGTGCAAGACACAAGAAAACTGCATCATTCTGTATCATAACTTCTTCCTTTAGACTAGACATATTTGATAGTACTGAATAATTCTGTGTACTTGTTGGTATAAAGATTTGAAGCCTTTTAAAAAATTAAACTGAAGAGGAAAAGCAAGGCAAGTTCCTTTATGAGTCAAGCTGGCATTTGGTCTTCAAAATTACCAGATGTCTGTTTTCCAGAGTAATTTGAGCCAGTGGTGGTTTTCTAGCTGGTGAAATTAACCAGCAGCCAGCTCTTGGCTTCATCCCAGAGTTAAGGTGGCTAACATATACCGGTATTAAGAATTAGAAACATGAATATATAGAAATTTATTTTGATAATCCTTTACCTGGTACATAATATATCTTTTATGTATATCCTTCAGAATGTTGCCTTTCTTTATAACATTGTGGAGATCAGTGTCTACAATAAGCAAATGCACAGGAATTACATTAATTTTGTAAAATTAATTTGCCTATTGGGACTGCTTCCCATTAATTAATGGAATCAATAAGATTCTAAACACACAAGTATGTGTAAGAATGTTCTAGAAATCTGACCAGTAATTCTCTGTTAACTGCTGTAGAAACAAATCAAAACAAAATCTGAGTAACAGGTGTCAAAATGTATTAGATTTGAGTTGATTTGGCAACAAACTTTGAAACAAGTTCTAACATCTTTTTTCAACAGGAATATTAGGAAGGAGAAAATAATCCTTAACACATTTTTCATATCATGTAACAAACTTCCCAGACGATTTCCCAAAGAGATAAAATAAAATAAAAGATAAGTTCACTCAACCTTCCCATGGTCATTAAAACTTTAAACAAATGATGCTGGCTTCAAAATATTGTTTATGTTTACCAAGAACCAAAATTCCATGAAAAGACGTCAGTTCCATAAAAATAATATTGTACCTCCGATAACGTTTTTTAAGTCACGATTGATACAAAAAGGGAAGAAATTAATGGTTACAGCTTCTGCGGTTGATTATTTATAAGTAAAATGCAGATTAAGTGTACTTTGCACAAACCCATACCTTAGAAACAATTTTCACGAAAAAAATCACGCTGCAAACGTAATTGCAGCAGTTATTTTTAATGTTATATTCACTAAATATAAGTTCTTCTCCTCTGTAAGCCATATATTTATATACTCTTGAAAGGTAGGAATTTGGCAGGCAGCTCAAATTATTACGTCTCAATATTTACATCGACATGCAAATCAACTCTACCAGCCAAAGAAAACAGACGCTAACGCCGAATATTTTAATGCTCCTTAAGAAATTTGGAAAAGTTCAGAGAGAAACTAGAAATCAATTTTTGGACAATATTTGTACAGTAAGCTTAAGCTCAATAAAATATTCTAAGGTTAAAGTTAAGCTTAGATCTATGCCACACCGATGCAAAACCTTGAAAATTTTTAATAAAAACGTACCCATATATTCAAAAACCAAATAGATGTCCTTATCGTTGTCTGCCTTGATGACATTTAGCAGTTTTATGATGTTTTCGTGGTCTCCGAATTCCTGGAATCAAATAAGTACAGGACGGATTAGATCGAGAGCGGCGGAAAGGAGCTTCATCCATTGAAATGCTGTGCGGAAACACACAGCAATATCTATCTAGTATGCTTAAGGTTAAACCAAACTGACTCGATTCTACATACCTGAAGGAAACAAATCTCCCTAAAGGTCCTCTGAAATGAAGGATAAAAACGTAATGAGCAAGGATATATACTCATTCAAACAAAGCAGTATGATCAAACATTTTGTAAAGCTTACATACTAATGTAAGCTTTAATGTTCAATTTCAAAGCATACCTGAGCATCTGTTTGATTTCTAAAAGCATCAAAAATCTTTTTTACAGCAACAACTTCTCCTGTTCGCCTATCTATGGCCTTCCAGACGATTCCATAAGCCTATAAACATGAAAATAAACCCGAATCAAATCACGCTGGTGGTCACAGGACGAAGCGCCAAACAGTAAAATGGCGCGGATCGCACCAAATTTTAACGGCACGAACGACGATCTTACTCCTTTTCCCAAACGCTTTTTGATTTCATATTTCTTCGTTATGTGAGCATCTATTTCAGCACTCATAATTGCAATTATTCCCACGGAGCAGACAGTCTACCTCGCTGTGAAATTTGCTAAACTTTATGAACAATGCGGCGTGTCTCTGTGGTTTAAAACATCCTACAATAGATTCTGCCTTCCGATTGGCTCACGTACACCGTTTATAATAAATACAGTTGTCATGGCACCGGAAGAGGGAAAAGGAATGATGTCATAAGATCTTTTTAGGGCGCCCACTTTGGGTCTCTCGAAAAACTTTCCCAACTTTTTGACATAAGCGTTTTCAATTCCATTGATTAATTCAAGAAACATTGACCTCAGCTATCCTTGTAGCAATCTGTCACGGAACTAAACGTACGTGTACTCTGTAGTTAGGAGCCTATCGCCATCTTAACCCCTTTCGAACAAGCTAGTCCTATCTCGCTTGGAGTTTAATATACAGAAATCATTCTTTGGACTCATATCACGTCATTGTTTAGCGGAGCATATCTCTTTAAAAAAATTAATGAAATATTAGAACCGTAATATATTTGAGTTCCGTCGATACTGAGGTTCTCGACAGTCTAAAACCTCAAAAAGGAGAAAACACGATGCGGAAACAGGTCAATGAACATTGTGTAAAAATGTTATTACACAACAAAGATAAAATATAAACCAGGGGATTATGCTAAATCATTCAAGGAGGGCAACTTTAGAAGTGACATCAGATTAAGCAACTGTCTTTTTCAGTGCCAATAACTTAATAACCATACTGGCGACTGCGAAAAGCGCCACTCACGAATTGCACTTGAGTTTTGATGACTCCACTATACATTTATTGGTGTTTTAATTGCTGTTATCGTACGCCTGTTTTTATTAGGTTTGGTTAGATATCGTCGCATAAATGCAGTCCACTTTTTTTCCGGCGTCGCGAGTTCGGTTCTTCACAGAACCTTTATTTTCAGTAGAATCTGTTGCTGTTATGTTACAGAATTCTCCAGGCGATCTATCACAAGTGTGGAGGGACTTGCAAACAAATAAAACACGACTTGGTCACATGTACTGCCATATCTGCCACATCCAGGCCAAGAGGTCATATTTTTCTTTAAAGATACAGCAGTAGGGTATTCGACGTGCTGCCCCATCCACTATTACCCTCTTGTTTGATTAAATATGTTTTTATTTTTCGATTAAGCATTTACAAAATCAGGAGATTGCAATCTGAACGTTATTCGTTTGTGCAGATCACAGGTTTGCGCGTTTTCTAGCCTGCGTGGAAAGCGTTCGAAAGGGAAGGGGAAGGGAATGTCGAAGGGAATTAGTACGCGAGACCACGCACGCGCCCAAATTCCCCTTTCCCCTTCCCCTTTCAACGTCGGCCACGCAGGCTACGCGTTTTCAAGCACTCGCGTGTCTTTACCTTTCTTCTCCCAAGGACGTGAGACAGAATGTCACTTGCAACCCTATTCACGACATCCTAGTGTTCATTTTTACCAAGTATTCATATCTCCATAAATGGCACAAAAGAAGCTTGGTACCCTGACCGAACAAAATTAGTCAGTATAGCCAAACAGGTGCCGGCCCATGGGCTCCTGTGGCCAAGAGAAACATTTCTTCCTCTGCAGGAACAAAACCGGCAAGATAGGTCCATCCCGAAGTTTCCAAACTTGTCGGGTAGCCAAGGATCCGCTATAAAAAGGGATCGCCCGAGGCGACAAAGAGTTGCATACTCATACGCGGCTGAGCAGGGGGGCAGGGGGGCCGTAGGGACAGTGCCCTCCACGTTTTGCGCAAAAAAACAATGTTAGAAGAGGTTCACAAAGAACTGCCTAAGAAACACCATGAAGCAGGACCACCTGAACAAATGCCAACTGATGCATTGTAACAAATCGATTACGGACACACTAGAAACTGTGAACATTGCAAAAAGGTTTACTTGTGCCAACGTACCGGGCAAGAAATTTTGAGTAAAGGTATGCGCATAGCTGAGTAAAATATGAGCCCAACCCCCCACCCCCCCTACGTTTCAAAACGCTCCGTCGCCTCTATTACTTAACTAGCGTACTGGTCGTCGGACCCTATAAAAGGATATGTTTCTGATGGGGCTTCTGATTCGCCAGTTATTTAGCCGCTGTCCGTATTATCGTGGTGTCTATGCAGTTGTGTGCCATCAAAGGTACCTATATATAAATTTTACTAAACAATAAAATAGCAGGGTCGGATTTAGGGGAAGCCCACCCCAAACGGCAGCGCTTTTCACCTCATATACAAACTTGATATGTGAGGCAAACCCCACCCATGCTTGCCCAATCCTCCTAATAAGAGCACCAAAATCCTGCATCGGACCCTAATACAATCTAAAAAATGATAGTGCTATTAATGAGTAACAAGAAGAAGGCAATGTGAAAACGCTTTATTGTCCTGTTGAATGTTGCGGTTTGAAACCCCAACATCGTCAAAATAGGAGGCACTCCACTTTTATTAACGAATAATTTTCAATTACCTACTCTTCTGATTCCGTTTTCGATTGTGATTCTTATTGAATACAGTAACGAGCCAAAGCTCTTTAGGTAACAAGAGGTCACATCGGTATTCTTAAAAAAGGAAATTTCTTTGGAGGTTATCGTTGTACTAGAGTTCGAATGAACATGACAGCTTATAAGCTATTCAATGCACTAAAACTACTAAACTCTTACATTTCGTGTTTCCAGTGTGCTTTATCAAGACTTTTACATCATCGACTCGGATGAGATTAGAATTTTGAACGTAACAAAACACTACTGCTGTTGAATAATTTAACTAACAACTTTTCAGTTCTTAAAAGAAACCATACTTTTCATTCTGCACATGCAAGCATATAAAATGATTTTAGTTTTCTTCACTTAATGGTCGGCTTTCGGGCCGGTCATATCTACAATCCTGGCCAAAAGGTTTTCGGACACCTCCCCTTTTTCACGTGTTTTTCTATGAAGTTTGCAGCTAACCTGCGATACACACTCATAAACACGGCCTTAACAAGATTTTCCCGCCACCTCCTTGAACAAAGTTGAGATCGTTAGCGTATGCAAAATATGTAAAAGAGTTTGACTCAGGGTTTGACTTGTAACACCCAACACTGTTCAGGGGGGGAGGGGGTGAACTTGAATTACATTTCGGATACATTTTCCTCACCTGAAACACAAGTATCCCAAACGTTTTGACCATGCAGGATTGTGCATTAATCAGTTACATTTAAAGTAGTACTTAGATAACTACAAGTCTAAAACAAGAACTGACCAACAGAGAATTGACTACGCTCGTATACAGAAGGTCTGTTTAGTACGATGATAGAGGAGGGCTTCAATTTACCACTTACACTTATTTACAATACAAAGGAACAAAATGTCCTGCAGTCCCCTCGGATGAGTGGTGACACAGTGGTCACGACGGTTTTATCCCTAAGCAGCGATAGAAGCCATAAAAAACTCAGCTCACATAGTTCTACAGCCCTACCACGAATAGCCTATTAACTTCACAGTCGTCTTCTTGAATTCGTGAATTCTGACGAAGTTCCCATTGTGTTTATTTTACATTCATTCCATAAAATCCGGATTCTCTTTTGCAAGAATTCTCTTAACACTCTCAAAATGGGCCCCGCTGAAGTTCATTTTAGCAACATCATTTTCCTTATGAAACTGCTCGTGCACCTGAGAAACTAATTCTTCTGGTAACTCAAACAACGCCTCTCCAGTCGACAAAGCCAATACCTAGCAAGATAAAATGGATGGCAGCATGAGTGAATAAGAGAGAATAACGAGCTATTATGTCCCATCATTCTGTTTTGATGGTAATTATTTTATAACATATTATTACTACATTACATCATCATAGACTGGTAGCAGTCTTGAACAACAAAAATACACAGTTTTTATAGAAAGTGTGACTTGAAGTACTTGGCCTTCATTTATCTTTAATTTTTATTGCCCCTGTCGATACTAACAACAACAACAACAACTTGTAGCAGTCTTTTTTTTATCTAGTCACCAGGCAGTAGACCACCAAGGATTATACTGGGATGACAATACGCAGGCTGTGTAATAACCAGCATCTGACCTGAGTCATACAGGCACGCTCTAAATAGTAGATGTCATCAAATGCTTTGGCAGCAGTTTCAGCGACCACAAGTACTCCGTGATTACACATGAACAGCAACGACTTGTCTCCCAGCTGCCTGCCTATCCTCATGCCTTCTTCATCATCGTGGCTGTGCCCGCTGTAGTCACGGTCATAGGCAATGCAGTTGTAAAACCTGCACGAATTCTGGTGGCACATTCTAAGTTCAGGATTTTTTAAGCTTCCTGAAATTAAATTTTAAGAAAAGAATGGTTAAGTGACACTGATAAAAGTTTCAAGAAGGACTACTCCAACGAGGTAGCAAAAAATCAGTCGAATAACACATCGTTCTATCATTTTGAGGCTCGACAACCTTAAAAGCTCCCCAAACAAGAATGAGAGCTCTAATGGTGGATTTTCTTAATACCCAAAGCAGCCTAAGTGGTACGAATACACAAACCTTAACCCCTATATGACTTCCCATCTCTGTTTCATTATCAGCCCTTTCTGGGGATATATTCTCTCACAAAGATGGCTGTTTGCTCTTAGTAAGTCCGCACTACCCAATACGTCAGATGGTGTTCTATACAGACGCTCTCTGCTTCCTTTTGTTCAGGGTCTTACACCAACGACTTACGCTCTTCCTTTAAATAACCCCTCGCTTACGGTAACTGAAATAAAAATCAGCGGAAATGTTTACCTATAGCAGTACAATACGGCGGATGAAGGTGAAATACACAAACTGCGTCTGGCCTAGCGTTGTGAACTCCTAGATGAATAGTGGCTGCTGAAATCTCGGCCTTTCCATCTCCTTCAACTACTTCGCTTCTCTCGTTCAAACCCACAAATGACGACGCGCGAACCTAAAAAATGCATATCTTATCAAGAGAAACACTGAAGGCCGATCCTGAGTATCAGGGGTTTGGAGGGAGAGAAAAGCAAAAAAGGGGAGGCAGCCCCCAACCCCCCCGCGCGGACTTGTCACTCGAGACCTAGATAGGTTGCGGTTGCAGAGAGGAGTATTGACAGATTGCTCTGGAAGGAAATTAAATGTCCAATCACAAAGCGCGTTAGTAATTAGGCCAATTAGAAATGCATACAGATATCCCTCCAAACCTGAGGGATACCAGAAAAACCTTTTGGGAGCTGTTGCGCAGACTGTCCATATCGGGGATTTAGACGGTATGCGAAGCAGGCTACCTCCTCCTCCGCGCTATAAAATCTCCTCTTCCCTAATGCCCGAGGAAGGCTGGATACTCAGGCTAGACTTAAGGTAAGTACCCTGGGTGCCAGAGACTTTTCATGCGCGGTTTCCGACACCCGCCGGATGCTCCTGGTCGCACGCGAGAAAAAACCTCTGGTACCCAGGGTATAAGGTAAGTGACACTCACTCGAATAAACCTATGCTCCGGTAGTACGTTACGCATGCGCAAAACTATAACACCCGGGCAAAACTTCGGGCAAAACAGCGGCAACCTGCTACGGACAGCAATCTCGTCGAAATCTCGTCCTAGCTAGGATTCATCAGCAAGGCGGAGTTGTCTCGTGTATTTGCAATTTACTTCCGAGGTAAGGGACTTGTCAGAAATTAGCAGGGGGGGAGGGGCGGGGGGGTACGAATTTTAAATTTGGGTCCGGAAATGAGGTGACCCATCCCTGCAATGGGAGTGAAATTTGCTAACCCTCCCCATGACCTTGGCCTAAAATATCATGACCCTCCCCCTCTTGTATAAATGATATAATCTAGTTCTTGCAATACACTAGGGTGAGTCAGTATTATGAAAGCTTAAAATATATTTCTAATCTGTTCTTTGTAATGCCATATACATACATTTTAGATGACAGCATTAAGAGTCCGACTCCGATTCTGGCAGCTGATCACTCGACTCTCTTATTTCTCCCAGGTTTTTTTTTAAATAATGAACTTCTTTTTTCTTCTGTGGGTGAACCTCTACATGATCACGGACACATATTTGCATGACCCCCCCCCCCCCTTTTAACGGCCCATTTTTCATGACCCCTCCCTTTTCTGCAGTCTCAAAAAGTTGTGACCCTCCCTATGTTTCCACCCCCCCTCCCCGCCTGCTAATTTCTGACAAGTCCTCAAGTGTAGCGCACTACTTTATGCGCTACTCCCATCCATTCGTATTGTATCAAGCCCATGTTTGTGGTATACTAGATATCCAAAAGCGAACCGAGAAAAACCTGTTTTTCGCCTCTGAATAATTACTTGATTATAATCAACAGAAGGTGCTCTCGCATTTGAAAACTAGAAGACTTCATAAAACAATTAAAGGACCTACCCTTGATTTCCATCGGCTTTGATAATTGAGTCGGGGCTTCGCCCATCGTCAACTATCTACTGACAGAAATCCATCGTTCGTCATCTAATTATAATTGCAGGCCAAAAAAACTGTTAATAGCACGTAATTTACTCCCAAATGTCAATAACGGGGATGCACGTCGCCTCGCTTAGAGGTAGAAATTGCAGATTTTGGTCTCAATTAAGTTATTGAGAACGGAGAGCCAGTATTTTTACACATAAGGTATCCGGCTTAGTGTTGAATGTAAAGAAATATGTACATACGAAATAAACAAACAAACAAACGCCTTCATGGCCATGATTGAGTATGGGCTTTTTATTTTAGGGGTCAAATAAAGCCTGAGCCCCGCCCATTACAGCATATTGTTCTTAGTTAAGGGTAGACTTTCTCAAAGTCCTTCGCTTCTCGTTTCCGGTTCTGGTAGTAGGCCTCAGAGCTCCCGCTCTCTCGCTCGCTTTGCCACCAAAAACAAAAAAAATTTCTAGCTCGCGCTTTGCGCTCGAGAAAAATTTTGAGCTCGACCTGTAGGTAAGTCTAAGTTAAGGGTTTTATTCCGACTTTCCTAAATATATTTATAAGCATATTTACCTCACTCCAATGCAAGCCATATGGGATGAGTAACATAACTTGGCCTCTACCATCCGCTGCTGGAGCCATCATACTCAAATGATTACACACTCCTTCGTGCAATCCAAACTTTTCAAAACCACGATAGCACGCCGCTAAATCAACACGTCTCCGCCAGTTTTCGCGCTTTGCGTCTTCTACCAGAACATCAGTTTTAGAAACTGTATGGAGCCTTCGCGCTCGGAGACAACTGACTTTGCCGGGAATAAATTCTGCTTTCAGGAGCCGACTTACGAAGCGAGAAGGTTGGAGGGGAAGACGTGCTGCTGCGGCCCTCATATTGTACGCTCAATCTAAAAAGACAAAAAAGGGTTGTGTTTACATCAGCACTGGAGTGAATTAAAGAAAAGTCATCACAAGGTTTCGGATGTGGACAGTCTATGAGCAATTGTGACTGCTGTAAATATCTAAATACAGTTTTAAAATTACGAGTGGAAAAATATGTTTTACAACTTGTACGAAAAGTAATGTTGACACTACAGAGCTGTCGACTGGAAAATGCATCTTGTTTGTTAGTAATCGAGAGAGAGTCCGCTCCGAAAAGTCAGCGTCGAGTCGCGCTAGTCGTAAGGATGGACAGCATCACTATCGACTCGGCAAAATAGAGTTTCAAATCGTTGTGGTTACATTATTATGAAACTGTTCTTTCATGATATAAATGTGATAGATACCAGAATTGTATTCTTCTGTAGATACTTACAGAGAGGGCAGTGAATAAAAGCGCGAGCTTCGCGCCTTCCTCGAGGAAAAGTGTCCAATCAAGTGCCATATTAATGGTCACGTGAAACGGGCTGAAATTTGAAACACGCGACCAGGAAAAGCTGCTGATGGTTGTACTGTGTACGTCGAGGTTTTACTGCAAAGTATTTTGTATTTCCCTTCAATTTTCCAGTTTTACTCACGCTCATTGATTCTTTCTCTGGAATTGCTTCCTTTGAATGTCAAAGAAGTTTTGTTAAACGTATGAGAATGGCGTCCGCTACTGAGCCTCGTGGTAAGTAATGAGCTTACAAATCAAGTTTTTTGCCTATGAACAAACATTTAAGAACTCTCAAAGTATTTCAACGCTTATTTATATGCTTTTAAAAACTTATCACTAAATTAATATTTTTAAGAACATTCTACCAGCGCTGGTGTCGCCTACGAAGTCATATTAAGTCCCAAGGTGGAAACTGCTAGAAAACCCCGCCTAACTCCTCTAAGAGGAAAAGAAAACAAGAAGCAATTGGACGAAAGGATGAAAGCAGCTGAAGAAAGAAGAAAGGTAAAAATGAATTATTGTAATGAAATTTGTCGTACATCAATTGCAAGAACTAGTTAAACTCAAACTGCGGTTAGTCTTGAAGTAGATACAATTTTTATCTTCCAATCCTCTTCGTTGGCTTGCGACTGAATTGTAAAAAATACTAACCTTTTTACTGTACCACTCGATCAAGCGATCAAGCAATTTAGCGTAAGTTAAATTTAGCCGGAGCCGTATAATTTTTCATATTCGTGGGCCCCTTTTTAGGGAGGTAAGCTTAATTTGACCTGCCGAACAGTCTGAAACTACAGTATGCACTCAGGTGCACATTCTGTGTAAGGGTGCATTTGAGTTCTATGCTTATGTACTTGATCAAGTGCACTTTAGATTTTGCCTGGGAAAGGAGTTGATGCCAAAAAAAAAGCCAGAACAGCGAACGTCTTTTGTGCAAAATGTTTTTTATTGTGTTGTTCAAATCATCAGAAACATTGCAAGGAGATCTGCATGTCCCATGCACTGTACAAAGATGAACCCAGAGTCCTTATGACGAAATAAGCTTGTGACATTATTTTGGATAAGTTCACTCTTAAGTGAGACCATAAAAGCGTTAACGGAGACTGCACTTTGGAACTTGGGTAACTCAGTCAGTTTATTAGTCCCTGTTGTGTTGTAATGATGGTGGTTTAAGTCCCAAAAGAGCCTAAATGATAGGCATTCCTTGAGGCCTGTGGCTGATTAAAGGCAAAGCTATTGTTGTGGCATTTGACATTAGAGCCCGACTCCTAATCTTGGGTATTTTGTGGTTCTTGTTATGGGCTGACCTTTAACAAGTTTGCATTTTTCGTTGTTTATCTGTCTCATCAACACCATCTTGAATTACATCATGGGCAGACCATGGTCACGTGTGAGGCGATACAAAAAAGCTGGTGTACAGCAGATTCACCTTTCAGCCAAAAAACTGCTTAACCATGAAACCCAAGATATTGTACAGATTCTTGATGAGCGAATTAGTGAACCGGTGTGAGCAACAAATAAAACAGAGTTCTGGACTTTTTGTTGACACCCTGGTTAGCCACCCTTCCCCTGGCTCTTTCATGCAATAATGGTGCAGCTTTTTTTCTGATGTTTGTGCGACACACTTTGCGTTGTCATAATTTCTAAATTATACAACTTTGCATTTCATTCTCAAAATCTCTTAACCTTCTTTGCCCAGTGACTGTGTAATTTTCTTGTTCACTTAAGGTTTGAGATATTCTCGAATACAATTTTTTTTTGGAGATTAGTAAATTTACTCTGTTGCACTTCTGTTTGCACATCCAATCAAAAGATACTCTAATGCACTCTATTATCTATTATTACTACTTATAATTACACAGTGTTCCCCTTATCAGGCAGTAACTGGTAAGATTTACCGCTTGAAGCAACACTTCTCATTGCCTGCAAACGCTTGTAAGTTGTTTTTAAAAAAATACGGAAGTTGTGATCGGATCCAGTTCTCACAAGAAAATCAATGAAAATATGGAAAATATGGAAGTATACACAGCTATTGTCTCTGGGTACTTTACTTGAAAATTGCTGACTTGTACCTTTCAAATCACTGCAGGCTAGCAATTTCGTTTTGATGGGCTTCTTCAATAAATTTGTTTGAGCAGCAACATTGACGCTTGTATTAATTTTGTTGTAGCTGTAATTTCATTACTCATCATGAAGCAAGAGCAGGCCATGCTCCGTATTTCATTACTGATGGGCATGATCAAAAGATTTGGGGGGGGGGTTGAAATTTTCTTTGCAAGGATTTTTTTGGGTAGGAAAATTTGGCAAGTATTTTGTGGCTGGCTTGTTTTAAGTAGGCAGATCCTTGATTTTGTCACAACTGTTATGGCGACTCCTGGGAATCATCTTGTGAAAAATCATGAGTCCCAGTCCAGAACCATTTGAGTCCCAGTTCAAAAAACAATGAGTCCCTCATGGGTCTTTTGTAACCCCACTCCCACACTCTGTATTACAGTTTACTGAAATAAAAATAGTAGCAGGAACGAATCTAGGATAAATATTGGCTGATTTCCTAGACAAGCGCCAAGGCTTCTAGTGGTTTGGGGGCATGCCCCCATAGGAATATTTTTGGATTTTAACTCCCTCATTAGTCCCCTTTCCTGGCTTTCCAAGTCATTCAGAGAGGATGTTGGCCTGTTCCATTCTCCTTGGATGAAGCATTTGTCCAATCTATTTTCCAGATTTCAACTATTTAAAACATATTTATTATGAAAAATCTGACTGATTTCCATAAAACAGAGGAAACTGGTGTGGATCGGCACCTGTTACTCCTTCTATTGTACAGCATAACAAAGACTAGAAGAAATAAGCATCACTTAACAACAGCCAAAAGAACAGCCACAGAATTCAAACAAACAGGATATTCTTTTGCATCTTTGGGGATTTTTATGTGTCAGGGATGCAGGACGCAGGGTAACAAAATCACTTAGAGTCTTTTTGGGGTATTCCAAACAATCTGAAGATTTGTGGTGGTGCCTGGGTATGTTAACTTTAAATGGTATGATGAAGAAATACTTCATGCAGTTTCTAATGTTACTCAATTTCTTGTTTACAGCAGCTAGACTGTTTTATGATTTAATGCCTTCTAGAAATTGTAATAAGGCTCAGAAATTTGGCATGGGATTTTTGGGGGGTAAATTTTTGGTCCAGGGATTTTTGTGGGTTTTGTTGAAAGCCCTAGGGATGTTATGAACTTTGATTTTTGTCCCCATTCAATCATCGTAGTCACTTGAAATCTGAAGTACTGCGTAATATTCAAGGATAGGTCATACTAAAGTTTATGTACAAAATAGAAAATGCTTCTCGATTTGTAGGTCCATGCATTCTGTAAACAATGCCTCAAATTGTATTATCCTTGTTTACAGGAGGACCAACTTGAGCTCCCCTCAACAGATCATAGGAAATCAAAACTCCTATCACCCAACATGTCATGGAGAACTTTCAAAACGTCACTTTTGTACACATAAGTAATGAAATACTGAGGAAATTGAACTCAAAAAACATGTGTACTGCTTTTGTTATACACATTCCCAAAACATTGAGACTCAACTGGGGTAGAAACATTGCCCACTGAAATTTCCAGTAACTTTTCCCTTTCATTGACCTCGTTTTACTAATGTGTGCTCATGTGCCAATTTGTTTTTCTGCGATGCCCATTGACAGGTATGCAAAAACAGCAAATTGTTTTATCCTTACTCAAAACACACTGTGTTCTCTTTTTTTTTCCTGTTTAGAGCATTGAGGGTGAAATGCTTGCAAAAGTAGTGGTACAGATTGCACGAGTTAATCAAGTTCAGCTAAACAAGCAGCAAACAGAGGAGAAGCAAAGTAAAATAGCAGAGGAAAAGTGCAAGCAAAATATGGAGTCTCATATTGAGAAAAAGGAAGCTCAAATTCAAGCACTAATTGATCGGCTTCATGCCAAGGATAACCATATCAGAGAAGTGCAAGCCAAGTTACGGGAGATAAGTGTCTCACATGCTAAGAAGTTGGAGGAGAAGATTCAACACAAGGAAGCTGTGACCAAAGAGAAGCTTGAACTACTTCGTAAGGTTCAGACAGAACAATGGCAGGCTCATGAAAAGCGTATTCAAGAGGTCTTGGCCTCTTTGCAAGAGATCATTGAGAAGAATTCCAAGAAAGCTGAAGAAAATTTACAGGAAAGGATGGAAAGAACAGAAGAAAAGCGCCAGGCACAGATCCGCGCACTTCAGGAGCGATTGCGGCTCAAGTCATCCAAGATAGAGCAAGCACGACAGTTTATGGATAAACTTGTGGAGGAAACAAAGAAGAGTTATGAAGAAAAACTCAAACAGAGGCAGGAACAAATGGAGGAGAAGCGGAATGCAGAATTGAGGAAAATACAACAGAAGGCAGAGGCCCATGACAAACATGTTGAAGAGGTGTGTCAAAAAGTGAAGACAAGAAAAGCGGAAAATACTCAGTGATGAGAAAAACATGTGGCAGGAACAAGTAACACAATAGCATATTTTCCTTCCTATTAAGTACAGTGTACTTTGTACAATTTTCCTGTCCATGAACATTCACTGGACAAAACCATGACAACATGTTTGGCCAAAAATACTAACCTTATGTGTCTCATTTATATTTAAGGAATAAGTGAAACATTTGTTGCGTTAAACTATTGTACAGGTGAAGTATTACTGTTTTCAAAATAATTATTATTGTTTGAATTGAGCAATGTTTGGTGCATGTTGAAATAACTGAGTTCTTTAAACACATGATTGACTTTGTTCAGGTTGTGGACGGGAACAATAAATTGCTTGTTTTCTTTAGTTTTGGTCATGTTTACCCTTGATAGAACTTGCGCTCTAAAGTGTCCACATTTCAGTGTGGGACAGCTAATAAGATTTTTAAAAAGAACCACAAAACTCAGACTCAGGTAAATCTAAGTAAATAAAATATTATGTGTTGTAATATCGGGTGTAGCTGTTGTGGTTTAATTTTACCCTGGGTTCCAGAGGCTTTTCATACGCGATTTCCAGTTTCGGTCAAGTCTTAAAAAGTGACCCGCGCGTTTTTCTCACGGCTTCGCCGCTCGCGTCTTCGAAGGCCGAAGACATGTCGGCCTGTGGCCGACGAAGCTCTTCGTCGCTCGAGAGAAAAAACCTCTGGTACCCAGGGTAGTTTAATTTAGCCTTGTGGATTAAAGTTTATTTTCTTTTGCTTTTGGGTATGGTAATGTATGATAATGAGTTTGAAACAAAAGAAAATAAAATTTAAACAGAAAAAGATAAAATTGAACCACAACATAGCCAACTAGTTGTACAGTAGCCTGCGTAGCAAGCGTTTCCAATCAATTTTTTTTGCTCTCTTCCCAACTTTCTTGATGAACTCGCGTGGAAATGCTTGTTACACAGGCTAGTTGTACAGAAATCATAAAGCAAACCTTTTTTCTAGCCTTCTCAGGATGCTTTATCATTGAAACCAGAGTTTAGAGTTTAGAGTTCAGAAAGTGTGGTCAGAAGAAGTGTCCTTTCCAGCCACTCAGGCCAGTGTCATGCTTTGTGTGGTGGTGGGGAGATTGAATGACTCCAGTCAGAGAGGCTACAAAGGGGACTAGGTTTGAATTGAATTGAATTGAATTTGAACAGGGAAGAGATCTGCTTGTGCTGATGCTTCTACAAGTCCCAGAAGTGGGGGGGGTGCTTAACTCCCCTATATGGCCTATACAGGGATGTGCTGGTGGATAGGATATGGTTTTTGGTCCCTCTACCCTGAAAGTGGTATATAATTTAATGTTATCTGACCTAGAAATTGTCTTGTCCCATCCTAGACAGGGTAAGCGGCTCCTGACAGGGTGTAGCTAGCCTTGAGTGTAGCCCGCATGGGCAACATATTCCCGCACAGCCTGATGAGAGCGGCATGAGCGCCCCTCACGCTCTCGTGCGTTCGCAGATCCGATTTTCCCCTTCCTATTTAAACCTCTCGCACAATACCTTACATGTGAAGTGCGCCTTGGCGACTTTAAGCTAAAGGATTGTAGGTCATTGTAGGAATATCTGTTGTAAGCACGTACACAATCGACATACCAGACGAGCCGAAAGAAGTCGTCTGCATTAAGGTTTCATTTAAGCCTTTCTTTTTCCATCCTCCCCCTAGTAAAGACGTCCCGGTCAAGAGCATCCTGGCAGGCTACCAAGTGCATCCTCCAAACCTCGTCTTTTTGAAAGTGCTCTCCAGACTTTAAGGCCCTGTTCACGCGAATCCGGGTAAAAATGTGCAGTTTCATAAATGTCTCAAGGGATTCGTGTGGTCGGAGCCTCAGATCTGAATGGCGATAGTGTTTGAAAGGGAAGGGAAGGGGATTCCAGGGGAGGGGGAGCCCAAATTCCCTTCCCTTCGAACGCCTGACAGCAAGGCAGGCTAGAATGGTAGTAGCCTCCCACGCACACGTTCGTAGGGTTTAGTCACGCGTCCAAAGCAGACAGACGTTCTAACGGCTTCGTCACGTGTTCCTATCTTCGTTCGTGAGGGAGGGGGCATTGCGTGACGAGCCAAAAGAATGTCTGGCTGGGATCGAGTATCTCCCAGGCACCCCTCCCTGATGCTCTCGTAATAATATGTTACGTCCGATTGATCGATTGTCTTTCAATTGTCAAATTGCAAGTGACTCACTTCAAATTCAATTTACCCGCCTTTGCATATGTAGACTGTATTGGTTGTATTCGGAACATCTCTCTATTGAAACACACCTAATAAGTACCTTGTAGCTAGCGTCGTTTCTTTACTCTTTTTTAGCTTTTGAAGCCATTTCAGAACCATTTTGGTGAGGTTTATTGCGACATAAGCCATTGCAAAGTATTTTTTAGAACATAAAAGACAAGAACAACTAAAACTCGCCAAAAAATAAAATAAATGTCTTTATTTCGCCCGTTAAAATACATAACAAACGTTACAGAGAGTGAAGTATACAAATCATAAAAATCGCACAGATCATTTCCAATTATTACTGAAACAACCTGGTAAAACATTGGATATCTATATTGTTAAATTGCTAAGTTGTATTAATTGAAACCTTATTCTATTAAAGTACCAATTCTTAAAACGTTCTTTATTAATCCGTGATAATTGACTTGCTCGTGATCTTAATCTCTTGGGTGACTCTTTGACTTTCGGCAAAAGGGCATATAATGGATGGCTAACACTGTTCTTGATTTTGGTAAACAACCTGCTATCACACTTTACTAAAAAGGTCATAGATATTAATTACTCAGAAGTGTAACGTCGCTTATTGCACCCTTTTAAAAAGCATTGTACGGTGTTTAAATCTACCTGGCTGTTCTCCATAGACTGAAAGTGCGTATGTGGTCTTTGGCAGAACAATATATCTATCTTTCCTTAGTGAACTTAAAATGTACAAACACTTGTTTGCTTCCCGAAGCTTTCCTTTAACATGAGATAAAAACTTACAGGCGTTTTGTAATGTGACACCTAATAGAGTAAGACTGTCACTCTGTTCTATGCCACATAGTGGGGGAAAGTTAGTTGTGACACCTTTTTTAGACATACAGAGTTCTTTGCATTTGCTTGTGTTACAGCTCATACCATGCAGGGGTACTTAAACATAGCATTGTTTAAACGTATTTTAGTACTTAAACGGTAGATATGGGCATATTTTTATCCTCTATAAGTTTTTCATCTGTGCCCAGTTCGGATTTCCTAGCTGAAAGTCTAGTGATCCGAAGATTATGGGATCAAAACTTACCTTTTCGAAGATTTCAGCCAGAAAAAGGCTCCTTAAAATTATAGGTGACCTTTTTAGGGTAAAAATCTGTTAAAGAGATGTTTGAAAATCCTAGGAGAGGCAGGCAAGCAAGAAATTTTACAACAAATGTTTCGAAAATTCTAGATTTCAAATCATCTTCCGAACGGATATTTTCCGAAAATTGACGCTGGGTGCCCCTGACCATTAACCTCTGTCCACTCTAAAAATGCATTTAGTGCGTTTTGTGATTCATCTACAGTATTCTTACCCTCAGTCACAAGAACAGAAGTGTCTTCAAGAAGCTGACGTGCCAGTTGACAATGTATGGTTTAAATGGCTCTGTGTTTGTTTGTTTCTCTATTAATAAGTTGTGCTTGACACTGTCAAAGGCTTTTGAAAAATCCATCGTAAACAGCCTGACTGCTCGGTTATCGTTGCTATCTAAAGCTTGGAGAATCTCACGCTGCATTTTAAGAAGCGCGTTTGTACAACTGCCTCCTGTTCTGTACGCAAACTGGTTATTATAAATAATAATAAGGGTGGGAACTATATGCCAAATAATAAGTCGTTGGCAGAAATATTTATTTATGCCGGTGTTCTACATCCAGGTGTTCTACTTATAGCAGAGATGCCAACTTCTGGAGATCTAAAATCTGCAGACTCTCTTTTCACTACCCCCCACCCCCTCCCCAGAAATTCAATGAACCTATGCCCCCTCCCCACCTCCTAAAAATATGGGAATGACTAAGGACATTATATGGAAAACCATGACTTTCTTATGTAGTTATTTATCATTATGTGGTGTGGTTACTTCATTATGTCTTGTGGTTTCTTCATTATGTCTCGTGGTTACTTCAGTATGTCTTGTGGTTACTTCATTATTTGGTTTGTTCACAGATGTGATGTGGTTTCGTCTTTATGTTTTGTTGACTTCACTTCCGGTACAAAGCTCTAGCACCCAGGCTTTACTCGTAACTAGCAACTAGTCAAACCGGTTTTAAGAGGGGCCTCAGTTCCTGCTCTTTCCCGTTCCTGCTCATTAGCGTGTGAAGGGAAAACATCACGAAGAGTATTCCGAAGGACCTCAAACTCGAGTCTGTTATTTCGAAATTTGCTGCCGAAAGAATTGAGCCTGAAAATGTATCAGAGTTGTCCGATGACGAGCTTGTACGTCTTGGTGTGACTACGATCGGGGATCGTCATCGCCTCCGTGCCCTTTGTGCTAACACCGAAAAAAGGATCAGTCTATGGCTGCAGCTGCTCTTAGCGAACGCTTGGCTCTTTTCAGCGGACGTAGTGGCAGCAGTAGAAGGGGTGGACTTGGTGAGAAAAGAAAAGTTTCTTCGAATAGAGTTGGACAGTATTAAACTATCGTTTGTTTAGCCAGCCGCCATCAATCGAGAATTCCGTCGTCGACAGAAAATTACCAAAGCAAGTGCTTGAGTTCGGCATAATGGCTCAATCAATTCTAAGCGTGCCCATCCCCCCAGGCATTTGTTGGGCATTTCAAGTCTTCCAATTCAATTCAATTTTATTCACACTTTTATAAAATATTTACATTATATATAGTAACGTAAGAATACACTAATAAAGAAGAAGAAGAAGGATAAAAGAAAATTAGCGGCTTGGATAGAAGTGTACGGTGGTCAAATGAGCTTAGCTTTCGAGCTAGCCATCTTGTCATTTTATTTAGGAAACTGGGCTTCAAATGCTCCATGGTGTAGCCTGAGTATCAGTCGTTTCTGGGGGAAAAGGTGAAAGATGAAAGCGAAAAAGGAGAGAGCTGAAGGAGAGAAACGCCTTCCTAAGGGGCTAGGGTAGAAGAGGTTTTAGATGGGGGAGGGGGAGAAGAGAAAGGAAAGCCTGACACAAAACCATTCAGCAAATCGTTTGACACATCCAAAATCTGGATGTGTCAGTGATCGGGTAACACACAATAATCCCTGACGTTGGGGCCGTGCGTTCATACAGAAATCCCACGGTGGGGTTTAAAAATAGAGTGCAAATGCCCCACTCCGGGACAACACCAAAATTGTATTTTCCAGTAAATAAGCTGGAAATACCATATTTATTGATCTCTAATAATAATGAAGAAACCACACCACGTAATGATAAATAGCCACATAAGAAAGTTATGGCTTTCCGTAACATTATGTGAAGTCTCACGTTTAGTACATACCATCAAAATTCGCGATCATCGTTGATGCCGGAAATAATCTTTGTCAGTGACTAAATATGTGCAAAAATGCCCCAGAAACCGTACTACGAATTAGAAAAATTCAAGTTTTGAGCTAAAATGGGCTAAATCTCAAACTAAGGCACAGAAAAACTCAAAATATGATTTTATCCGGGAGATATGGTGACCCGTACGGGAGACCGGGAGGTTGGTGTTGTATCAGGGAGACTCCCGGATAATCCGGGAGAGTTGGCATGTATGTTTAATTGTACCCTGCAGAGGTTTCTCTCCTGTATCTGCTGCATGGTTTAGCGTTTTAAAATACGAAGTCGTTCGCGTCGCTTGTCAGTCGCGTAGTTGGTTTGTTTTATACGCTCCGGGAGACGATTCAGTAAACGAACTCCACTAGGATGCGAACTTTTTTTTTTCCCGTGAAAAGGAAAGGATGCACATGTGTTTATTTCATTTCAACGCGTTTCAGTGGCCACAAATGTGTTGTTTCAAACGTCCTTTCACTTCAACCTAATTTTTAGGTTCGTGAGGATGGCGACGTATGAATCAATTAGGAACGGTACTTTTGTATTTGCGTCGACTCTGCCGTTCTATTCGAAACCAGCTTGTCGAATAGAACCCCGCGAATAGAACGGCAAAATTCACATGTGCCGAACCTAATGCATAAATTATGTTAACGTATTTTTCAATAAAATCGCGCTTCTGATTGGCTATTTGGTGGATTTTCGCGCCCGTGCGGGCAGAACTTACAGAAGCGTAGCCTGCGATCATGTTCTGTAATCGGCCAAAGAAGCAAGGAAGCAAAAAAAAAAAACGCCTGATCTCAGGTTAACATGCAGAAGCGTAACGACGGTTACCAGCATCCACGTTGTAGATTTTTAGACTGAAACCGGACAGCTTAAAACGGTCTTCTAAAAAGTTGCTTCTCTTGATCGATAAAGAAATCGTACTACTGTATTTTAACATTTACGGCGTCACTTTATTTTGTCCAAATATCACGATCACGATCTCCTCAGCTGTCTCCTTGCCATAACAGAACACAAATGACACTAAAATCAAAACAAGAATTTCCAGGCTTGGTGAATTTTACTTTTTTCCAGTTTATTTCCCTATTTTAGGCAGTAAGGATGATGTTTCTTTTCGCCACGTATTAGGTTCGGCACGTGTAAAGTTCGACCGTCTGAATCAACAGTTGAACTGAATAGTTTGAGTCGACTTAAATAGATATTAGGTTCGGCACATGTAAAGTTCGACGTTTGAACCGGGCCAGTACCCTGATCCCTGAGAGAAATCTTCCTTTTCTTTATGTTCACTAAACATGCTGTGAATAAGGTCTTTAAGATGTATTTACACAACACTCTGGACACTCTGAGAGAAAAGGAACTTACCTTGTACTGACCTCTTGTATTGATTTGGCGAGTTTGTTTGGATGCAGCTCACGATGCATTCGGAGAAAAGACTTACATAACACGCCAAACCAGCTTCACCGGTCATGCGGTAGGGGTTCATTGACTGTGAACATATTATTATTAATCACAGCAGAACTAAAACTCCCTAGAATCGCCATGAAACGGCCAAAACTGCTAAGAAAATACCATAAATTTATCAAGGAGACAATATAAGAAATTCTGATGTTTTTTTATTGCTGTTTTTGACCTCTAACGACCGCTAAAATCCGCTAAAATCTCCTACAAACCGGTCAGAGTTCCGGTGACGTCAGGAGCGGTGACCTGGGTACTAGGAGCTTGAAGGCCTGGCTCCTTCGTCAAACAACATGGCGCGGTCTTTGGCGCGAATTTTGTAGTCACATTTTTGTGCGTTTCAAGTTTAGAAATTAGAGTTTTTGCGGAAAAAACATGGTGCAGATACATATAAGAGGTGTTAGCATTGAGTTTCCTTTCACTCCATACGACTGCCAAGTTTCTTACATGGAAAAAGTAATAGAATGCCTTCAAGAGGTGAGGTGTATTTTTCGGGTTTACCTCGGTGTAAGAACCTGTACACTTTTTCTTTGTTTTGCACCTTTTGTTTTCCTAGGTTTTATTGTGTTGACTTCTTTTTTTCCTTTGCTTTACCTTACATCGTGAGTTTCACAGGTTCTTACACTGAGGATGAGCTTATATTTCAGCTGAGCTTACTTTCAGCACCCAGGCAAAGAGAACGATTTTAATACTAAGAATTTAGAAAGATTTCCCTAAAAACCCCCACATTTGTTATGAAAGCAGTAATTTCGATCTATTCCACACTATTTTCACAGAAGTTTATTCTTTGCGAAGCGATAACCTGTTCCACGCTCTCAGATAGTGGGGAAGACGCAAAAGTAAAAGGCACGCGAAAAGGGGGCAGTGGCGGCAAAAAGGAAATAGTTTCCTCTCACTCTATTTTCATGTTCATGCTTTCTCAAATATGTGGACCAGACTATCTCGGAGATGGGTACTGAAGCGAGAGCTGTTTAGGCCCGAGCAGAGCAAAGGTTTAGGTAAACTTGTCTGGTGCGCAACATGCACGAGGATTGCCTCTCCCTTTCTATTGGTTTGAGCAAATGCAGTTGCCGAGCAACATGGCATGATGTGAACAAAACTGCCACAAACCTGGCCCAGTTCTTTTAGCAGCCATTTAATAGGTCAAGAAAGTCTTTTCACACCAGGTAGAAGTACCTCTAACGTGATTTGGACCATTAGCTTCAAAATAACAGTGAAAATTGTGGTACAAAAACGTATGTTTTGTGCCCTACTTAGCAGACAAGTTGTATCGCTTTGTTGGGCATATATTCTTTCAGTTCAATGAGATGATTTTGAATTCGTTTTTTATAGCCAATAGCCGTTTTTTTTCCTGAAATATATCTTTGAATTTGTGTTTAATATGGCTCAAACAGCTTTAAATGCCATTTGCTGGTCTGATAGAAGTTCCATGGAAAAGGCTTAAATGAAATACCTTTCTTGCCACTTATCTATTTATCCTCAGTAGTGTAGTGGTAAGGAAAAGTCTTGCCGAACAGGATGTGAGAGTCTCAAGTCCTAGTTAATAACCCTTTTCTTTTTTACTTTCTTCTTTTTTATTTCCCACTGTTGTTTTGGTTTGTTTGCTTATCTTTTTTTCATATATACACAGGCTACTATGCAACATACATTGAAATATGGCTGCCATATTGAAGTTGTGAATTTGAGCCCAGGCCTCTCACAAATGTCATCTTTTCATGTGCAAAAACTGCGGGCAAAAACATAGTTGCTGCAAAGCAAAAGGTCGCTTACTGAGCATCTTTAATCAAAATTTTCATTGGGAGCATGCCATGTGCTATGCCTGTAAATAGCACTGTAACAGCTGTACAAAATTCTATTGAGAACCCTGTTTAGTGAGTTGCAGGGGTTAATCCAGTCCAGTCTGTTCTAGGTTTTGATGATGCCTTCTACGGCCTCTTGCGTTTGTGATTTTTCCTTGAAAGATTTTCCTCTGATAACTGATGTAAAGTGTTTATGTACCCATGCAGTTATGCACTATCTATATCTTTATTTACCAGGCATTAATTATCTGAAAGGGTAAAAAATAACTTGCCAGCCAACTACAGTTGGGCTTTATCCTAGTATCCCCATGGTTGGAAGAGGTTATCAGATAATGATCTGCTCTCTGTAACAGACAATTTTAATTCCTCCAGAAAAAGAATGGAATTCTTGAGAGTCCTACCGGTACTGGCAAGACACTGTGTCTATTGTGTGCAACATTGGCCTGGCGTGAAGCCTATGTAGCTAAGCTACAGCTTAATCAAAGGCTAAGTGCTGATCAAGGTGGATCTAATTATGTGGAGAAACTGGGTGCACAGTTACAGCAGGCTGCCAATGGAGACTCTTGGAGTGCACAGGATGGCAATGATAAAGGTTAGCAGGTTAATTACAGCAATTATTAACTGATAACCAATAAAGCACTTTAGATTGAGGAAGAATGATTAACACGTGTCCGGTTAGTGCATGGGCTTCTGTGCAGGAAGTCCCAAGCTCAGTTCCCAGGTCTGGCCTCAAATCCTTCTTTTGATTTCTCTCTTTTCCGTGTAGCTTTACGGAGCTTTATTCATACCTGTAAAACAGAGGCTGGTGGAGAGAGGTGTGTAAAATGAGCACACTGTCAGCCTAAGGTTTGTTAGTCAGATGACTATTTCGAGCTACCAATGTAAAATATAACATCTTATCCCTGGATATAAGTCAAGGTATACTTGCAGTGATTGTGAACTCACCCTAGCTTCCCCTCCCTCACACTGGATATACACTTCCTTCTATCCTCCTAAAACATCCTTTTTTCCAGATACTGGGCATTTATTATGACCATGCAAGTAGGTGCATGAGGAACAATAATATTTTCTTAGTTGTTACCTTTCAAGGTCATAGCTCTCTATCTACTCTAGCTATTTTTCTTTACATAAATTACAATCAATTTTAAAGTCAACGCAGAATCAAAACCCTCTGTTTATATAGTCCCACCAACACCCCTTAAAAAGCTGCAATGTCTTTTTCTCATTAAGAAAAGTCTAGTTCACTCCAAGCTAGAAAGTTCAGTTGACTTCACTCACCAAGTGACAAATGTGTTGTGCTCTAAAACCTTTTTTTATGTCTTCTGAATTCCTGTCATATTTGAATTCTTAATGTTTGATATGGCACTACATGTAGCTTTTGTGTGAGATCTACATGGTTGGGAAGTTTAAAGTGACAAAGGCAATCATCTATTATCATTGAATTACAGCTTCCTTTTTTGAGGCCCCAAGAGTTCTCTATGCATCTAGAACACACTCTCAGCTATCACAAGCTGTACAGGAACTGAAGAACACTATTTACAGGTACAACTTTGCTACTATCCTTTATCTATTACGCCAAAGACTTATAGCTATTTAGATCTAAGAGCAGCTACTGTATGTCACCTCATTAGCCAAAGAAAAAACATAAACAAATAAATTTTGTTCTAACTTCAATGTTGTGACTGTATGAAATGGGATGAACATGTGAATGAATCAACAAAAGTATTGGGCTGAGTTTGTACAGTTCACTTTTGGGTGAGTCTCAGTATTTTTTCTTAACCTACATGTATTTCTCAGTTTATTGTCTTCTCAGTTTGTTGTCACCTTATTTGCAGACCCAAAGTTAGCATCATTGGTTCTCGTGAACAGCTTTGCATCAATAATGAAGTGTTAAAGCAAGAAACCAATTCAGGCAAGGTGAGTAAAGAGATCTCTGTCTTCGAACAACATAACTCAATGGAAAATAAACATTAAGCTCCTTTAAATTGTTAAGTGTGATTTTTGTGGTAAGCATAGTTCCTTTCAACCTGGAAAAAAGTTATCTTCAGAAGGGTGCATAGAAAATCATTTTTACAGCTTGCCATTCTGGCAAGCTTAGGCTAGCATTTACTGGCCCAGATGTTATTTCAACTAGCCCCAAAAACTTTTTGACTAGCAGAATTGATTTCACAGTTCTTCTGTTTTTCAAATTCCTCAAAAAAATCACTTGCCGTTTGGGCAAGTTAAAAACAGAATTTATTAGCCTGATAGCAAAATCCACTAGCCCTGGGCTATCGGACACTACTTTGTTTGCATGCTGTTCAGGGTTGATCAAGGGTAAGATTAAAATTAAAAACAACAACAATAAAAATTGCTCTTTCGTTTTGGCAAGGTATTGCTTACTTAGGGGCAGTCGTGTCGGACTGCCAACCCCCTTTTCATTAACATACTTTAAAATGGCAAATGCTGCTTCCCTATCAGACTACTCGTCATTAAAACATGCTATCACGATGGGTTGTTCCACTAGCCATGGGCTATCCAACAGCACATGTGTTGTACCTTGGGATTGCAAATGAACAGGAGATGTTAATATTGGTCCTTTCTCTTCTAATTCAAATTCAAGTAGTGTATGGCAGAACCCAAGTGGCTCTTGATTTCTTGTCAAATTCTCTATTTGATTTCCAAGAAAATGTACACAAAAACTGTACTAGCAAACCTCTGAACCTTACTGTAAATTAAAACTGTGATTATTTTGGACTCTATTGTATACCAAAATTAATCTTATTGTCTTGTCTCCAATAATAGGTGCACTTATGCAGAGCAAAAGTTCAGGCAAGAAATTGCCATTTTTACAACAACCTGGAAGGTATGGTTTCTTTTCAACCAGCATTTACAATGGTATAAGAACTTTTTATGCTACTGAATTGCTCATCCTTCATGCTAAGTAAACTGAAGTGCACTTTTGCCTCCTTAACTGGAGATTAATTTTGATCTTCATTTTGACCACAGTACTGTATCTTACAAAGCAATTGGCAGTTTGCAGGCTAGTTTAATGTTTTGGTATCTTCTATTCTGTAGCAAACAAAGCAAACAAAGATTTTACTCAAAGTATTCTTGATATTGAAGATCTGACAGAGCTTGGACAAAAACACAGGTAACTTTCTCAGTCATACTTTTTGCTTTAAGAGTTTGTACAAAATCTTTAAAAAGTGACATGACAGTTCCTCACATAAAATTAATTGAGTTCCAAGTGTCAGCAATCATAGTTTGGTACCCCATCCTGATAACATAACAAGTGAGAAGGGAAGACACTGCCACGGTTTCATTGAGTTTTCACTGATGTTAATATGAATTTCAATATTGAATATTTGAACACAAGTCCTTTCCAAAATAGTGTTACTTTACCTTAAGTGGCTTGTCTGACCAATGGTGCCACGATACAGTTAGTTCACTTTATATTCTAATGCGGAAATTCTGCAGCACAACGTTGTAAGCTGATTCAGTGCTCTCAATATCCAGATTAAGTCACTTAATCTTTCTTGAACTTTGTTTTTTTAGGGTGTGTCCTTATTACATGGCAAGAGAACTAAAGACTGGTGCAGACATAATATTTATGCCATACAACTACCTCTTGGATGTAAAAGTAGGTTTGTAGTAATCTTTTTTATGACCTCAGTACATTAGTTAAGCTTCAATTATTTGTCGCATTAATGCCATCTATATATTTTAAACCCTTTGAACAGGTGTTTTGTAAGGGGAGTAGTAGGGAAAAGTGGAAAACCATCTCCAGTGAATAAATTGAAAAAGAATTAAATGAACAAAGGAAAGTTAAGTGGTGGCTTGCCCGCAGTTTAGTTCCTTGTTAACCATTTCACATCAAATATTTGAAGTCATAAAGTGTTGGTTTTTGAAGAGGGGGTAAAACTGGAGTAGGGTGGTGTACCTGGAAAGAAACTTTTCATAGCAAGGGTGAGAACCAACAACAAACTCAACCCACATATGACATGCCAACACCATGTGGATTTTGCCCATGCACAGATTAGTTTTTTAAAAAGTGCCAAAATTTTCCATTTAGTGCCAGTGTTTTGTTCACTGCAAATTAGTATGTTATACCATGGCATTTTTGGTTTAAAAAAAAGAGGAGGACAAAAAAAATTCAAGTTATATGATAGCTTACATGTTAAGTGTTAAATTTTCTTTTATTTCATCAGTCAAGAAAGGCAAATAACGTGGACATATCAGGCAGTATCATTCTTTTTGATGAGGCTCATAACCTGGTAAGAAAATGCTGATGGAAGTTAAAATAATTCTACCAGCAGGGTCCATGCACACGCAAAAAACTGTGTCCGAGACAAATGATTTTGGCTAAGGGACAACTGTGAAGAAAGCAATCGTACTTGTCGTCAAGATAAGTTCGTCTTCTGAAGAAAAAACTCTGAAACCATCCTCGTTTTAAATATGTTTCATAAGGGAAATGAATAGACAGTCAGGGTTTTTGTAGTGTAAATAAACTGATCATCCTGAGAAACTCAAGTTAGAAATGGAAAGTTTGTAAGAGCTGATGTACAGCTGTTCTACTTTTAATAATAGGAAACAAGGTCATGGTTGACATTTATGGCTTTTGCACTGTTAGTAATGATCATGATGTAATAGATTTTGCAATGTTGCCTGCTCAGAGCATTTAATGTTTGGAACAGTGTCTGGAGAAGTATAATTTGTGCTCTAGGAAAAATAATAATTATAGGTTAACCCCCTCCCCTCCCCCCGCCCCCCAAAAAAAACTCTTAAGCTTTGAAATTCAGGACATGGGCAAATTCGGGTTTTTTTTTTTTTATCTTTGGGGTCAAAACATGTGCACCTATCAATGCTAATATGATTTTTACCCCTGGTGGCCATTATTTCTTCGTAAACTCCTTTGAGCTTTGGTCTTACTCTAGGCATATTCGCTAGGCAGCATTGAAGGAAGTTGAAAATGAAACTAACAGTTAGCTAATGTATTTTTTGTCCTTTCAGGAAAAGATGTGCGAAGAGACAGCCTCCTTTGATTTAACTTCCTTTGACATTGCATCTTGTATAGAAGATGTAGCACAGTGCATTGAGTTTGTTGAATGTCGTGAGCATAACGAATTGGATGTTGATGAAGGAACAGGTAATGTACTCTTGCAGTCTAGTTAAAAAGGGAGCATACAGTCATGTAGGGTGGAGCAGGGGTGGGGTTAGGAGGTTAAGTATACTTCTTAAAAAGGCTTACTTCTTAAAGAATGTCGAAGAACTCATGCACTTACTTTTCTTCAAATTTAATGGGTCACCAAACATACACACTCCTTTCTTGTGGTGCATGATTTAACCTCACAATAATATTTGAAGATAACTAAGAGACTGCTTGCAGTCTATCCCAGCCAGTGCAGTGGTGTGAATGTCATTGACATGTGAAGACTTGGTCGCTCAATTTAGTTGCAAAAAGTAATGTTTTATCATCAGTCACAGTGACATGTACGTTGCAGTTTATTTTGTTATTTCAGTTAATTTTTGTTTTTCTTTTTTGTGTCAAATTCATTAGCATACATTACCATTCCCAAAAGCAATGGGAAAATGAAAATAAACTGAGATAAAAAATTAACTACAACATATATATGTATGACTGGATTTTGTTAAAGGTCTAGGTTTTATTCTAAAAAAGTGTTTATTCCTATCTGTATTAGGATTATGTTCTTCTATGCCAAACTCAATCATATTGAACATACACTTATTGACTTTCCTTTTTGTTTCTGACTGAAAAAGGTGATGTGGATGTTAGCAAGGAAGATCTTGCCCGCCTTAAATGTAAGAGACATTTGATTGGTATTTCTGTAATATTGATCACTTAATTAGAAGAGTATGCTGATAGCGTAATAAAACCCCTATTAAAAACCCTCAGTTGATGAATGAATGTAGAAGTAAGGGCTTATATACACTTTTTCATGTTATGTACCGTTTTTCACACTAACAAAAAAATACTTTGTATTTCAAAAATTTGTAATAGAAAAACAAACTACAGTGCTGTTTTTTTTTTTTTCTGCAGTTCTGTTTATTGAACTTGAGAGCTTGATTGATGCACAGGAGCTGCCAAAAAATGGTGATGGGTTAACAAAGCCTGGCAGGTTTGATTTTTGTGGGGTTTTTTTACTTCACCACTCTTCAATTGTTGCAAGGCCCGTGATACGTTTTTTTCTGGTTTATGGTAGCTTGTTAAATCTTGCAAGGACAATGATTCCATTTTTTGCATTCAGGCAAATTACTACTGGCTGGTTGGTTTTTGAAATTGTTTTAGCACTGGTATTAGACTTTTTAACAACAGACATGGTTTGATCCCTAGTCAGAACAGGATTTGGGACCCCAAAATATTTGAGTAGAACGTGCTGCTCCCTCACTTTGTTCATATTTGTACAGGGTCAGTGTATTCTCATTGGATGAGGACATGAAACTATCAGTCCCACCTCACAATACTTCTCTGAATTGCCTCTTATGGGAAGTAAAAGAACTAATGAGGAGATAACCATTTCTAGCAGGGACCACCCTTGTTTCTATCTGTCATTGGTTGTGGGTATGGGTAGGGGAGGATACCTGGCTTAGGATGTGAGTATCATTTGTGCCACACCCCACTGGGTAGACCTGTGTCCAGTAAAGCTGATAAAAGTAAACTTATTGTTGAAAAAAAAAATTATATTTGATTATATAAAGGGTTGGCTGAGTGTCCAGGCTCTTTTCTAATATCTCCCTCTGCTTCACAGGTTTATGTTTGAACTACTGTCCAAAATTAACATAACCTCTTCCTCAAAAGATCAAGTCCTGGAGGTTTTGGATAAGTGTAATTCTTTGTTGATTGGAGGTGAGAGAGATACAAAAAGTAAATAATAGCAGTAAAGGGGCTGGAATAGGGAATGGCCTTGTTTTTTTTTTTTTTGACAAGTCTTAAATTGTGTGTTTATGTGTAAATCTGTGTTCTTTGCAAGACAGGGCACAACAAAAGCTCTGTTCACTAGCCTAGGGCTATTATCGTGGCACAACCTGTTGGGCTAGTTTGTTGTATTTTATTGTTACAAGTTGTCTGATGAGCTAGCAACATTTTCCATGATAAAGTATGTTAGTGGAGAAGAGGAGTTGGTTGGCCTGGACAACTGCTCCAGGCGAGTAAACTTCAGCAACAGCTTGCCTGATTGACAAAAACTTTTTTTGAATTTTCATCTCACCCTACCTACAGTGATTTGCATTAGTCTAAGTTTTTCTATAAAGGGGTTTATGTTTTCTCTTCCTGCCTGACTTGGTAAGTCTGTTGTGTTTTTCACTACCTAGATACAAGGAAGTTCAAAGGGAAACATTTTGCTTTACAGAAGTTTTCTGATGCTTTGCAGGTATGTTACTGCAACTAGATAGCCATGAGTACTCTACTCTGTGAAAAAGAAATACTGGGTTTTAAATCTTATTCCATTTTTCCAACTCAAATGTGAATCCTCTCCTTTTGCCCCTACTCACTGACATGTTTATTAGGTGTTTATTAGGCAACCCTCATAAACACTGCTTATTCTATTAGTGAAAAAGGAGTTATTCAATCCTGTCATACCAATCAGAGTGTTTGACCCAGAAGCTGAGATTATGACAGTGTGCCTTTTTGCACCTTGGTTAAAAATCTAAAAACTAGTTTTGTTACTTGGAGAAATTAACAGCACCGCCAAAAATATCTTTCTTGATTAAATCAATAAATAATGATTTAGTGGTAGCACGTCTTACACCCCATCACAAGATTCTGTCTACTGACTCAGCACTCATTAAAATCATGAGGCAAATAAATTTAATGTTAAATAAAATTTTAAATAATAATTATTATTGTGTTATGTTTAATGTGGGATAAAGAACCTTCCCATCTAGATCATCAGATGGGAAGAAGACCCTTTATGTTACCTGCAGCTTGCCGTTGTTTTATTTTGCTTTATTTTTATTTCAGATTGTTTTTAGTAAAGATTCTTTACAACATTCAGCCAGTGCAGATCCATCATTATTTTTCAAGGTATAGTAGTTAAATTTCTTTGATTCAATTCAGCATAAAAGGTTAACTTCCCCACTGTGTCCCAGCAATCCAGGTTCCAAAAGGCCTAACTCATAGTGTGTTAACACAGCTCTCAAGATAAGAATTAAGAGAGCCTTAGTATATTTCTTTTAAGATTGTATGTTTTCTGAAGTGGTTATAAGAGCCTCTGTCACTTGAGCTTTTGTTTTAAGTGATAATTTTCGGTCTTTTGCCTAAGGTTCATATCCAGCTTGAGCCAGATAGTAATAAGAAAAAGAAGAACCTTGATGTGTGGACAACAGGATCAAAGATCAGCAAGCAAGGTAGTGCAACATGTCAAACCTCCATCACTAGCCCCAACCCACAGTGGGTTTTTTTTCCCAGTCAGCCACTCACACAGACATGCAGACATAACACCCTTTTTCGTGCACGCAAACACATAAGAGACATGTACATGTATGCAGTCATGCAGACACACAGACATGCACACACCAAGAGATGCAGACATGCGGATACAGAGATAGACCTGCAAAAATGCAAATATGCAGACATGCAGTCATTCACACACAGACATGCAGACATTCTGATGTGCAGACAGGCACACAAGTAGTCAGGCAGACATGTCAACATGCAGACACACAGCTGGGGTAGATCCAGGATTTAGTGAATGGGGGTTCAGGTAAGTGTCCACTTAAGGTGGACCATCCTAGGAGGGTCCTGGGCATGCTCCCATGCAAAATTTTGAAATTTAGACCCTCGAAAAGGTGATCTCCAGCATTTTTGTCACGTGCCTTTGAAACAACCTCTATTTTAATTAGCTATTTTAAACATGGAAGACTCTTAAAAATTTACAATAATCGAGACCAATATCGGAAATAAATTTGAAATAACAGTTGTAAATTTGTATACGCTCTAAAAATCTCTCTTTAATTTCTTCAAAAATGGAATCAACAGGGCATTTAAAACCAGGAAAAGACTCTCTTCCATCTATGTTTTTTTTCTTTTCAAACAGTCATTTTGTTTAAACATTTTCGTTTTTGGTTTTGGGTCCTCAAACTAACCACATGAAAAACCACCCGTGGATGTTGAAACATTTTCATTTCGGTTTTGGGGGGTTGACACTAACCACCCAATGCAAACCACCCCTGGATCCCCCCCGGCGCAACCAGGCAGTCATGTAGACATGCACACTCACAGACATTCTGACATGCCGACAGGCAGAAATGACACACAGACACACAGTCAAGCAGACAGAAGGAGTCACGCAGACATACCTGAAATATATGTCACATCAGCAATGTAGGTAACTACAAAGTGTGTGCCACCTACAGATAATCATTGTTGACTTGCACTGATGGTGCTCTTTGTTGTTCGCTTCTTGAAATTGCATTTAAATGCATTAATTTTATTATTCAACAGCAAGGTAACAGTTTCAATTTGTCTCATTTGATGTGTAGGTCGAACATTAAGCTATTGGTGCTTCAGCCCAGGGCATGCCATGAAAGATCTGGCCTCCCATGGACTGCGCTCAATTGTACTGACAAGTGGAACTCTGTCACCTTTGACTTCCTTTAAAACTGAGATGCAAATGTAAGATGATTGTGCAAGTGCTTCCTTGTCAGATACCAGAGGAGATACATGAAGTGCTTTTCAGTTCTCTCAGTTATTTTTTTCATTGTTTGGATTCTCACTGCCTAAGTGAAATAGACAAGTCATGAAATTGTTGTTATTGTCTTTTTGTCCTTCAGTTCTTTCCCAGTTCAACTTGAAAACCCTCATGTGATTGAACGACATCAGATGATGGTGGGTGTGGTCACTAAATCGCCTGATGGGGCCAACTTAAATTCATCCTATGAAACGAGGTGAGCTTAGTGAGGAGGGCATAAGGGGGATACGAACACTGCAAAACTGCACAGATATATGTATAAACACCGCACAGAATAACATAAGGAAACTGCAAACAGAATTGAAATAATACCTGAAAATTTCTAAATACCACAAAGTGCTTGGTTTTGTAAAACTGCAATACGGGCGGTGATGGGGTACTCTCTTACAAGAGGCTAATGGGGATGTGCCGCTGATTGGGGTTGCATTTTCACGACTGGAGTGACTATAACGGGGTTGCATTTTCAATAGAGTTACTAGAATGGGGTCACAAGTTTTCGGATTTTGGAGGTAAGTAGGGATTCAAAATGGGAAGATTCTCGGTTAAAAAATCAGAAAGTTGTTGTTTATTAAAATTTAACAATAAGCTCGCATTGACAGCATTACATTCCACCGCTTGAAACCACATTGATAAGGTAAATGTATAAATAGAAAGTAACTTAGTTTGGATTGCGAGAATTACGTTTTCCAAAAAGTGACTAAGTTGGGGTCTATAATTGGCCAAAAAATAGAGTATAATGAGGTAGGGGCTCTGAGAGGCCAGTGGCATACCCAGTAAACATTAACCCAAGTAAACCCCCCTCCCAGGCTGCAATACTGCAAAACCACATCACCACAAACCCTTACAACCCCCTCCTTAGTAATACTGTGCCTCAATAAGTGACTGCAATGAATCTATACAGTTTTATGAAAGTTTTCGGAGTAAAACTGTGTTTCACTTGAGTTAGACTTAGGTTGTAATTGGAGTCACCAGAGTGTCTATGACCTGGTGGATATGGATACTAATGGTGTCGTAAGCTGAGTCATGAGCTTTAGGGAACCAGAGTTGCAAGAATCAAAGCTTTTCCATTTTTTAACTCTGCTGTGTTATGATTGAGTGAAAACCAGATTATTGGAGCTGTAAGCCGAAGCATAAGAATGAGCAAATCACAATACTCATATTCTCTCACTGTAATATTGGGTTAGTTCAAGCTCCTTTTTGGATAATGGTACAAAATGATTTGACAGCTTAAGCTAAGGCCAACTCTTCCGCGAAATCCCCTAATCTCTTAAATGGAACTTCAGAGGCAAAAAATATATTCTTGATTTAATCCCCTGAGTACAACTTCTACGAATTTCCTGTTTAGGTTTACAACAGAATACATGACAGGATTGGGAAATGCAATGGGTGAGTTTAATAATTCAAAATTACTAACAGCTATCTAGTATCATTAGAGGAATAAAACCTTGAAATGCATATTAAGAGATGTTAAAATTAAGGTAGTAAAGTATTAATAGTTACCTGTTGTCTCCACTTATAATCCTGCTAAAATTTGTATTCAGAAAGTAAAAGGTGTACCTTGAGTCATTTGTTTGCAGCCATTCTTGATGTAATAATTGTTGTCCTCTGTTTGCTCCTTCTTTTTAATTGAAAATTAACTGGCCATCAAGCACTTGTATGGAATAGTATTTTTTTGTTGTAGCAATGTTCTAACTGTAAGTTTGAATCAGTTAATTTTGCCAGGACTGTACCAAATGGACTTTTGGTGTTCTTCCCTTCTTATCCTGTTATGAACAAGTGTTTGGAACATTGGCAGGTAAAAACGTTTTGCACAGTCAAGCATTTAATGTGAGATTTTTCTTGATGGAAATGGGTGATAAAGTACTGTTTTTCTGGTAGGGATCAGGAACGTGGTCAAGACTGGAGCAGCATAAACCAATTTTTGCTGAACCAAGAGGCAAAGGAGACTTTGTTGAGGTTAGTGTCATTTAATTATTAGTTCACTCCATGCCAAAGTTTAGGTTCCTACATAACTTCTTACAGTTTAGAGACAGCAAATGATTTTTTCTTCAGATGTCATCTCTGTCCCCTTCAAACAGTCCTCTCCCCATCTTCTCCTTAGCATTTGCTACAAGTGCCCTGGGTAGTCTGTCTCCTAGATGTTTTTCTTTTTTTCCAAGGAATTTGACAAGTGTGTGGCAGTGATCATGAGTGCTAAGCACACGAAAAAAAAGAAAACGTTTTTCTCATTGACCCATCCCCAGGCCACCCCTTTGCGTTAGCAATTAAAAGATCTAATGTGATTTTTAAATAAGCAAGGGGGCTCAATGATCTCTAAAGAAAAAATAGAGGGCGATGGAGAGAATATAGCCTTGGACACTTGCTCTTTTCTTTGCAGAGAAGATTTTATATTCCTCAATGATCATAGAGCTCAAAACTTAGAGCTTTTATTCTTTTCAGGACTTAAATTGTCAAGGCATCTGTCATGCATGCTGGATGCACCAGCAAACCTTTGTAGTCTGTTAACTGACTGTTGCCCCTTTTGATACTTCTTAAGCATCCAAGAGGAATTGCTAATTTTAAATTCATCTTTGAGTGAAGAAGTTTTATTTTGTTTAATTATAATTGTTTTGGTATTTAATTTGTGTTACTCAGACTATGGAGCAGTTTTATGAAAAGATTAATGATCCCAACCACAATGGTGCAACTTTTTTCGCTGTTTGTAGAGGCAAGGTAGAGTACTATTAATTTATATAAGCTTCACGTATTTTATTACCTTTTTTTCTGTTGATGATTGACTGCATGACTTTCTTAAAGGCTCTTATTTTGTGACATACTTATTTTTTACATTAATTTTGTGTAGGTTAGTGAAGGACTAGACTTTGCAGATATAAATGGACGTGCAGTGGTGATAACGGGTCTTCCTTTCCCACCAAAAATGGATGCCAAGGTAAAGCAGTGATTATGTAGACAAAGAATAAAGTTCAGAGGGGTAATACTAAGCAATGCTGCCTTTCAATATATCTGTGGGCTAAAGGTTAATGTTTTGGACTCCAGTTAAAGAGGGTGTGGGGGTAGGGGCCACTGGTGAGTCCTAGACAGGGTTAATGCGTTCTGTTCTGGTGAAGCCTGTTTACTCTCACAGTGCCCGCTCATGACTCCAACTAAGTGAATAAATGTGTAGCCTTCCAGCAACTTTGATGTTTGAGGTAAGTAACCAATGGACAAGCATCCCATCAAGGAGTACAACTGACTATCCCTAGCTGCTTCATGGTATGAAAACTAGGATGAACTTTGGCCTGATGAAACCCTTAGCTTGAATGCAGATTTTACTTTAACTTTTTTATGCTACTCTAATGGGAAGTAGAGGGAAGGTATTTGTCATGTACACCTAAGCACTTACTGTTAGCATCAAGAGTGTATTATATACATGTTACAAGAATGGAAAAATTATTAGTACAAGTAACAAAATGGGCATGCATTATACCATTTTTGAGATGTTCGAAAATCCTAGGAGAGGCAGGCAAGCAAGAAATTTTACAACAAATGTTCCGAAAATTCTAGCTCTCAAATAGTCTTCCGAACAGATATTTCCAAAAATTGTCATTGGGTGCCCCTGTACATAATGTATGGTTTTTCTTAAAGTTATGGAATCTGTGATGGTTTTGTTCAGGTGAGGCTAAAGATGAGTTTCCTGGATGAAAATATAAAGAAAGTCGGTCATTCCACACAGGTACATTAATTTTTAGTGCTTTTTGAAGTACAATAGTTAATGTACCATTAGAAGTTACTGTGTCCCAGGGCTTTGCTCGAAGTTCCAGTAGTATTTCTTCGCATCTTAAGGAAAGAGACGGTACTACTTTGTTGCAAAAGCCTTGGCCAAAGTTTGCCAAAGTCTTCCAGTCTCTTTTAGTGGACAGCTTCATTTTGTTTGTGGCAGAGAAACGTGTTTCGACTTCTGTACAAAAGCTATCTACCCCTGTCTTAAGGTGGCCTTTATGCAGGGGTCTGACTCTATTTAACAAATCGGCAACAATTTTCTATGGTCTACACTCTCATCAACCATAGAAATGATGTTAAAATGTTGAGACGTAAGTAGAACCATGAACCTCAGGAAGTTGTTTCATGCACTGCAAATTTGTTAACTAACATTTCGACGTCATTTTTGTGGTCTAGAAGAGTATAGACCCAAAAAGGTTGTTATAGATTTGTTTTTCACAATCTAATTGACAGTTTCTGACGTCCATTTTCATTTAAGTTAAAAGCAAATTGCGCCAACATCACGTCATTTCCTTTGTCTATAAATATTCTCCTCAATCACAGTTCTGGACCAATAAACATGCAAAATGTCAGTCTGTTATTATAAGAAACAGTTTCTTTTGGAAATGGAGATATCTCAGAAGAAAAACATTCTTTTACAGGGTTTAAGTGGTCGGCAGTGGTATCGTCAGCAAGCTTCCAGAGCTGTCAATCAAGCAGTCGGACGTGTGATCCGCCACAAGCTGGATTTTGGGGCTATTTTGCTGTGTGACATGCGTTTCACCTATCCTGATGCAATTCGTCAGTTACCTGCGTGGCTTAGACCCTATGTAAAAGTTTATAATGAGTTTGGTTTAGTGCAGAGAGATCTTAAACAGTTTTTTAGGAATGCTGATAAAACGGTATGTAGTTCTAATACTCATTCTTAAACTATGTCCTCTACTCCTCGGAACATTGTAGAAATGTTTTTAAAAACCTTCCAATAGTAGCTTACCGCTGCTCTGACAACTTAAGCGACATTCTTGCTACAGCTTAATTGCCAGAGACTGATAATGCCCGGGCCACTCCCGGTTCTTTACGCTGCAACAGCAGGAACTGTACCACATGCCCCTATACTGACCACGACAGTGTCAATTATACTTTCTGCTCCACGGGTGAAACCTACAAAATCAAATCTCACATGACTTGTAATACTTTCAATGTCATCTACATCAATGCCGCCTTTGTAATTTGTAATATATTGGGGAAACTAAACGCCGCCTTAAGGACCGTTTTAATGAACATAGACCCCCTATACTTAACCCATCTGGTAGTTACATTCAAACCTCAGTTTCAGAACACTTTCTCTGCAATAGCCACTCTGTTTCCCACATGTTACTTATCCCAATTGAAACACTTAGATATGAACGCGATTGTCTTAGGAAACCATGTGTGAGGCGCACCTCATTCATAACGCCAAAACCATCGAGCCTCTGGGAATGAACAAACGTGACGAACAATAATCAGTGTGTAATCTTTATCTTTTTTCCGGTTTATTTTTCGGTAATGGGTTCATGATAACCGTCACGAATATAGAGACATTAAGTGACCACTAAGCCCACTGTAAGAATGTTGATGTAATTGCTGTAGTTACTATAGTTGGTATAGTAGCTGTAGTAGCAGTAGTTGCTGTATTTGGTGTAGTTGGTGTAGTTGGTGTAGTTGCTGTAGTTGCCGTAGTTGCTGTAGTTGCTGTAGTTGCTGTAGTTGCTGTAGTTGGTGTAGTAGCTGTAGTTGGTGTAGTTGCTGTAGTTGCTGTAGTTGGTGTAGTATCTGTAGTTGGTGTAGTAGCTGTAGTTGGTGTAGTTGGTGTAGTTGGTGTAGTTGGTGTAGTTGGTGTAGTAGCTGTAGTTGGTGTAGTTGGTGTAGTAGCTGTAGTTGCTGTAGTTGCTGTAGTTGTTGTAGTTGGTGTAGTAGCTGTAGTTGGTGTAGTTGCTGTAGTTGGTGTAGTTGCTGTAGTTGCTGTAGTTGGTGTAGTTGCTGTAGTTGCTGTAGTTGGTGTAGTTGCTGTAGTTGCTGTAGTAGCTGTAGTTGGTGTAGTTGCTGTAGTTGGTGTAGTAGCTGTAGTTGGTGTAGTTGGTGTAGTAGCTGTAGTTGGTGTAGTTGGTGTAGTTGCTGTAGTTGCTGTAGTTGGTGTAGTTGGTGTAGTAGCTGTAGTTGGTGTAGTTGGTGTAGTTGGTGTAGTTGCTGTAGTTGGTGTAGTTGCTGTAGTTGCTGTAGTTGGTGTAGTTGCTGTAGTTGGTGTAGTTGCTGTAGTTGCTGTAGTTGCTGTAGTTGGTGTAGTAGCTGTAGTTGGTGTAGTTGGTGTAGTTAGTGTAGTTGCTGTAGTTGCTGTAGTTGGTGTAGTTGCTGTAGTTGGTGTAGTAGCTGTAGTTGGTGTAGTTGCTGTAGTTGCTGTAGTTGGTGTAGTAGCTGTAGTTGGTGTAGTAGCTGTAGTTGGTGTAGTTGCTGTAGTTGGTGTAGTTGGTGTAGTTAGTGTAGTAGCTGTAGTTAGTGTAGTTGGTGTAGTTGCTGTAGTTGGTGTAGTTGGTGTAGTTGGTGTAGTTGGTGTAGTTGGTGTAGTTGGTGTAGTAGCTGTAGTTGGTGTAGTTGGTGTAGTTGGTGTAGTTGGTGTAGTTTGTGTAGTTGGTGTAGTTGCTGTAGTTGCTGTAGTTGCTGTAGTTGCTGTAATTGGTGTAGTTGCTGTAGTTGGTGTAGTTGCTGTAGTTGGTGTAGTTGCTGTAGTTGGTGTAGTAGCTGTAGTTGGTGTAGTTGCTGTAGTTGGTGTACTTGGTGTAGTTGGTGTAGTTGCCGTAGTAGCTGTAGTTGGTGTATTTGGTGTAGTTGGTGTAGTTGCTGTAGTTGCTGTAGTTGGTGTAGTTGGTGTAGTTGCTGTAGTTGGTGTAGAAGCTGTAGTTCCTGTAGTTGCTGTAGTTGCTGTAGTTGCTGTAGTTGGTGTAGTTGCTGTAGTTGGTGTAGTTGCTGTAGTTGGTGTAGTTGCTGTAGTTGCTGTAGTTGGTGTAGTTGCTGTAGTTGGTGTAGTAGCTGTAGTTGGTGTAGTTGCTGTAGTTGGTGTAGTTGCTGTAGTTGCTGTAGTTACTGTAGTTGCTGTAGTTGGTGTAGTAGCTGTAGTTGGTGTAGTTGCTGTAGTTGGTGTAGTAGCTGTAGTTGGTGTAGTAGCTGTAGTTGGTGTAGTTGCTGTAGTTGGTGTAGTAGCTGTAGTTGGTGTAGTTGCTGTAGTTGGTGTAGTTGCTGTAGTTGGTGTAGTTGGTGTAGTTGCTGTAGTTGCTGTAGTTGGTGTAGTTGCTGTAGTTGCTGTAGTTGGTGTAGTTGTGTAGTTGGTGTAGTTGCTGTAGTTGGTGTAGTTGCTGTAGTTGGTGTAGTTGGTGTAGTTGGTGTAGTTGCTGTAGTTGGTGTAGTAGCTGTAGTTGGTGTAGTTGCTGTAGTTGGTGTAGTTGCTGTAGTTGGTGTAGTTGCTGTAGTTGGTGTAGTTGCTGTAGTTGCTGTAGTTGGTGTAGTTGCTGTAGTAGCTGTAGTTGGTGTAGTTGGTGTAGTTGGTGTAGTTGCTGTAGTTGCTGTAGTTGGTGTAGTTGCTGTAGTTGGTGTAGTTGGTGTAGTTGCTGTAGTTGGTGTAGTTGCTGTAGTTGCTGTAGTTGGTGTAGTTGGTGTAGTTGGTGTAGTTGGTGTAGTTGCTGTAGTTTGTTGTAGTTGCTGTAGTTGGTGTAGTAGCTGTAGTTGCTGTAGTTGGTGTAGTTGCTGTAGTTGCTGTAGTTAGTGTAGTTGGTGTAGTTGGTGTAGTTGCTGTAGTTGGTGTAGTTGGTGTAGTAGCTGTAGTTGGTGTAGTTGGTGTAGTTGGTGTAGTAGCTGTAGTTGGTGTAGTTGCTGTAGTTGGTGTAGTTGGTGTAGTTGCTGTAGTTGGTGTAGTTGGTGTAGTAGCTGTAGTTGGTGTAGTTGCTGTAGTTGGTGTAGTTGCTGTAGTTGGTGTAGTTGGTGTAGTTGGTGTAGTTGCTGTAGTTGGTGTAGTTGGTGTAGTAGCTGTAATTGGTGTAGTTGGTGTAGTTGCTGTAGTTGGTGTAGTTGCTGTAGTTGGTGTAGTTGGTGTAGTTGCCGTAGTAGCTGTAGTTGGTGTAGTTGGTGTCGTTGGTGTAGTTGCTGTAGTTGGTGTAGTTGCTGTAGTTGGTGTAGTTGCTGTAGTTGATGTAGTTGGTGTAGTTGATGTAGTTGATGTAGTTGCTGTAGTTGCTGTAGTTAGTGTAGTTGGTGTGGTTGGTGTAGTTCGTTGTAGTTCGGTGTAGTTGCTGTATTTTGTTGTAGTTGGTGTATTTCGGTGTAGTTGATGTAGTAGCTGTAGTTGGTGTAGTTGGTGTAGTTGGTGTAGTTAGTGTAGTTGGCGTAGTGGGTGTAGTAGCTGTAGTTGGTGTAGTTGCTGTAGTTGCTGTAGTTGGTGTAGTAGCTGTAGTTGGTGTAGTTGCTGTAGTTGGTGTAGTTGGCGTAGTAGCTGTAGTTGGTGTAGTAGCTGTAGTTGGTGTAGTTGGTGTAGTAGCTGTAGTTGGTGTAGTTGGTGTAGTTGGTTTAGTTGCTGTAGGTGGTGTAGCTGGTGTAGTTGGTGTAGTTGGTGTAGTAGCTGTAGTTGGTGTAGTTGGTGTAGTTGCCGTAGTAGCTGTAGTTGGTGTATTTGGTGTAGGTGGTGTAGTTGCTGTAGTTGCTGTAGTAGGTATAGTTGCTGTAGTTGGTGTAGTTGCTGTAGTTGATGTAGTTGGTGTTGTTGGTGTAGTTGGTGTAGTTGATGTAGTTGATGTAGTTGATGTAGTTGAATCTGAATAAAGTGCCGTTGTGGTGTCAACAACAAAAATGCAAATACTTTAAACTGTTGCGAGGCACCAAAACAAAGTATTGGGAGAAAAAGAAAGTACTCAAGCAGATGCAAATGTTTGAAAGCGGGAATAAAATGTGGTGACAAGTGCAAATGCAAAAGCTGTGGAAACGGAAGAAACTCACCTGAAGCAAAGCAAAGAAAGAACTACAGAAGCAAGTTTATTAAAACATCTTTCACTAAAAGAATAACAGAAAAACCATTTTTATTACAAAGGGAAGGCGCGGATTACACACGTAGCAGTTTTTCTGTGTTGGAACTTATGATTTTGGAATTTTGCTTACTGTCGTTGGGAATCAAATCTTGTAAAAACAAACCAGAAAAAGTGGCAAAGCTCTACAACTCATGTATTGATTTTTATAACCGCTCTACAGCACACAAATTAACTCGGAGGTCGGTTATTGAAATAAAAAAGGAAATGAACAAACACAAAAGCAGCAAGAACAACAAAAAATAGTTTTATTTCAAATCGTTACTTAAATGTAACAATGAAGTAACAAACAAGGTTTAATCGTGTTAGTCGCAATGGTCATTTAATATATGTGATCCAGGGGCTCTTTATTTTTGCTGAAAAAATAGACGAATACTAATTGGCACTCTCGACTCACCAAAACTTTCACATAATGACAATGCTTTAAAGTATTAACGGTGAGGTCACTCTTTGAGGTTTAATGACCATAGATTTTAGGGAAATAGGGAAAACGGCGCTAAAATGAAGATAATCCGTAAATTTCAAGTGCTAGATGCAGTCAGACATTATGTAGAGTAATTACATAAATATTAAGAGAAAGGATATAAAGGTAAAGACATCATATAATTTCAATGAAATTATATCAAATATCATCATTATATAAGATTAATTACCCGTTAGAGAGCATAAGTTTCAAGAATCACCAGAACGTTTTCGAGATCCTCCCAATTACTAAGTACAGTCGACTTCCGATAACTCGAACCTTCAAGGGAAATGCAAAAAAGTTCAAGTTATCGGGAGTTCGAGTTATCGGGAGCTTGAAGAAAATAGCCGGAGGTAAGGTGAGAAACAGTTTCAGTACTGTACAGTGGACATTTTAATCACATTTTATTGCAGAAATGTTAAGTGAAAATTGAAACATACTTTCAGATTATAAATCACAACGTATAACTTAACAAAACACAGTCTAAATAGAGCCTGCGTTTTACTGTTTTGAGAAGTAAAGCTGTTTCACGTTAGATTTGTGAGAAATAACATCAGCCTCCACTAGTGAACTATATCTGCGACAGGTCAGTGGGACTTTCAAATCCAATGTTTTGGACGCCAGTACACTGTTTTTCCACACTTTTTAAGGGCTCAAAACACGGTTCGAGTTATCGAAGGTAAAGTTGTATAGAAAATGACCTGAGGGGAAACGAAAATTGGTTCGAGTTAGCGGGAGTTCGAGTTATCGAGGATTCGAGTTACCGAGGGTAAAATTACATTAAATGTATGGCGGAAATCCAGGGGAAATCGATTTTAGTTCGAGTTAGCGCGAGGTTGGAGTTAGCGAGGGTTCGAGTTACCGAGAGTCAACTGTAGTGCTCACAGATAAACAGGTGTCATTTTGGTGAGAAAACTAGTTGGCCGTCGTCAATCTACTACGTTCTTTAGCGAGAACGTCAAAAAAAAAACTAAAAAAATGTTCATTACAATCTCGTCATCGTATTCCTTCAACTAGACATACTAAAAAAAAAGTAACTACATCCAAACTACACCAAACTACATCGAACTACAGCGGAGATGCCAAATCTGGACACTCTTTCTTTTGCATTACTCCCCGAATATCAATGATCAACCCCCCGATAAGCACAATACAGCAACTACACCGAATTACACCAACCACATCAACTACAACTACACTAACTACACCAACTACAGCAACTACACCAACTACAGCAACTACACCAACTACAGCAACTACAGCAACTACAGCAACTACAGCTACTACACCAACTACACCAACTACAGCTACTACACCAACTACACCAACTACAGCTACTACACCAACTACACCAACTACACCACCTACAGCAACTACGCCAACTACAGCAACTACACCAACTACACCAACTACGGCAACTACACCAACTACAGCAACTACACCAACTACAGCAACTACACCAACTACACCAACTACAGCTACTACACCAACTACACCAACTACAGCTACTACACCAACTACACCAACTACACCAACTACAGCTACTACACAAACTACACCAACTACAGCAACTACACCAACTACACCAACTACACTAACTACACCAACTACAGCAACTACACCAACTACAGCAACTACACCAACTACAGCTACTACACCAACTACAGCAACTACACCAACTACACCAACTACACCAACTACAGCAACTACAGCAACTACACCAACTACAGCTACTACACCAACTACACCAACTACAGCTACTACACCAACTACACCAACTACAGCTACTACACCAACTACACCAACTACACCACCTACAGCAACTACGCCAACTACAGCTACTACACTAACTACACCAACTACGGCAACTACACCAACTACAGCTACTACACCTAACTACAGCAACTACAACCAACTACACCAACTACAGCTACTACACCAACTACACCAACTACAGCTACTACACCTAACCACAACCAACTACACCAACTACAGCTACTACACAAACTACACCAACTACAGCTACCACACCAACTACACCAACTACACTAACTACACCAACTACAGCAACTACACCAAGTACAGCAACTACACCAACTACAGCTACTACACCAACTACAGCAACTACACCAACTACAGCTACCACACCAACTACAGCAACTACACCAACTACAGCAACTACAGCTACTACACCAACTACAGCAACTACAGCAACTACAGCTACTACACCAACTACAGCAACTACAGCAACTACACCAACTACAGCAACTACAGCAACTACAGCTACTACACCAACTACAGCTACTACACCAACTACAGCAACTACAGCTACTACAGCAACTACAGCAACTACAGCAACTACACCAACTACAGCTACTACACCAACTACAGCAACTACAGCAACTACACCAACTACAGCAACTACACCAACTACACCAACTACAGCTACTACACCAACTACAGCAACTACACCAACTACAGCAACTACAGCAACTACAGCAACTACAGCAACTACACCAACTACAGCAACTACACCAACTACAGCAACTACACCAACTACAGCTACTACACCAACTACAGCTACTACACCAACTACAGCAACTACACCAACTACACCAACTACACCAACTACAGCTACTACACCAACTACAGCTACTACACCAACTACAGCAACTACCGCAACTACAGCAACTACAGCAACTACACCAACTACAGCAACCACAGCAACTACAGCAACTACACCAACTACAGCAACTACACCAACTACACCAACTACAGCTACTACACCAACTACACCAACTACAGCAACTACACCAACTACACCAACTACAGCTACTACACCAACTACAGCAACTACAGCTACTACACCAACTACACCAACTACACCAACTACACCAACTACAACAACTACAGCAACTACAGCTACTACACCAACTACAGCAACTACAGCTACTACACCAACTACAGCAACTACAGCAACTACAGCAACTACACCAACTACAGCAACTACAGCAACTACACCAACTATACCAACTACACCAACTACACCAACTACAGCTACTACACCAACTACAGCTACTACACCAACTACAGCAACTACACCAACTACACCAACTACAGCAACTACACCAACTACAGCAACTGCAGCAACTACACCAACTACAGCTACTACACCAACTACAGCAACTACACCAACTACAGCAACTACACCAACTACAGCTACTACACCAACTACAGCAACTACAGCAACTACACCAACTACAGCAACTACAGCAACTACACCAACTACAGCAACTACAGCTACTACACCAACTACAGCAACTACAGCAACTACACCAACTACAGCTACTACACCAACTACACCAACTACAGCAACTACAGCAACTACACCAACTACAGCAACTACACCAACTACAGCAACTACAGCAACTACACCAACTACAGCAACTACAGCAACTACACCAACTACACCAACTACACCAACTACAGCAACTACACCAACTACAGCAACTACACCAACTACAGCAACTACAGCAACTACAGCAACTACAGCAACTACACCAACTACACCAACTACACCAACTACAACAACTACAGCAACTACAGCTACTACACCTAGTACAGCAACTACACCAACTACACCAACTACACCAACTACTGCTACTACAGCTACTTTACCAACTATAGTAACTACAGCAATTACATCAACATTCTCACAGTGGGCTTAGTGGTCACTTAATGTCTCTATATTCGTGACGGTTATCATGAACCCATTACCTTTTTCTGAGCAGCCACACCTTACCACGTCATACCATGTAACTTTCGTTTATTACAGTAGTATATATTCTGTATATTCGTGGTTTTTCCTAATAAACCTGATGAAGACTATAGTATTGGCCAGTCGAAATATTGTATACCTCAGCCTTTTTCACGTTGTTTCATCAGTCTTTGCACTGGTCTTTTTTACGTTAATTCTATTTTTACGACAGAAGTTAAGCTTAGTGACAACCCAATCTAAATACGTGCTTAAGCTTGGTTGATAAAGGGCTTTAAGTCACTGAATCACTTTTTGTTGATACTTAATAAATATATATATATTTTATTTGAAGGTCTATTTCTGGCTATAAAACTTCACTCAATGTTTATACTCCTCCAGGTTGATAAGTCCTCAATAAAAGTTAAAGGAATCAAACGTCAAGCAAACAAGACAGGCGGATCATTGCCATCCGCTGGTTGTCCAGCTGCTGAAAATGAACTGCATAATATTCAACCCGAAACAATGTCCTCTTTGAGGAGTAAAACAGTTGAAATTGCTTCATTGACAGAAAACTTCTTACGAGAAGGTACTCAAGTTTTACTGACCAATATATTAACCACGTTTTTAAAGACTTTAATATTTTGTCTGTTTGAAGCAGAACAAGGTCTGTTTATTTATGGGTAGCAGATACTGCTATGTCATGTTTTGGTTTTGTGTACCTACCCTGTGACGAGAGCTCCGCTCTTCCCCCTCTCTTAACCCTTTAAGCCAACAATATCCACATACAAATTCTCCAGACTGATTCCTCTACATTTCTTTAAACAACAGTTGAGAGAATTTGATAAAAGATCAAACCATTCTCTCTTTGGTGATCATTTTAATAACTCTCATCACCCTTTCTCTTGGTCGTAAAGTGATAATATTAGGAGAAAATTAAAAAATTAAAACTTAAGGGTTTAAGTATGCTGTCAGATGTTCCAAAAAATGTGAGACATTTTCAAGTCCAAAGCCAACCCCATGTAACGTGAAAGAAACTCATGGTAACAGTGTTTCTTTTAAGCTATTGTTATGTACTCGTAAGTGAGGGAAAGAGGATTTCGCATTTAACACTTAATGACTGGTCCCTCAGGAAACAGTTAATTTTGTTTCCCGAGAATCTTGAAACAAAATGAACTGTTTCCTGAGGGACCAGTCTTAAAGTGATTTGTTATATGGCTGGAAATTCTGAAGCTGGAAATTCATTAAACATTGCAGTAACGGCGGTCGTTGGTCAACATTAGGGACTTTAAGATCCAACGACGTGACAGCAACGAGAACGTCGCTTAAAAAGTGAATTTGCGTTCCTTCAGTTTTTATAGCGATTATTCCTACTCACTTACTTTGTCAAATGTAGGCGAACCCTCCTGAAGCTGAATTTCAAGGGACAATATTCAAGCTCAGAAAGAGAAATAAAACTTCGTCGTTGCTTGTTTACGACCTCCATAAAACGCCAAGTTAGACATTGTCACGTCGTAGTCATGCAAAAACCGGAGAGAAACGTACAAAAAAGCGTGATGTACGTGCGAAGTTGTTGTTTTGCTTATTAAACCAATTGTCTTTTTGACGTTCTCGTTGCCGTCCGCGTCGTTGGATCCTAAAGTCCCTATTCGTGGGTAACGGTGCACTGTTACTCTATGACGTCATAGATTTTGCAGTGTTGCCCGCTTCGAGATTTTGGCGGGAAACAGTTTCATTGTGGATATCGTGTCAGCTGTCATGTGACCTCGAAGTAACCAATGACAAATAGCATAAGATGGGCATTTTTCTTCACACCCTGCTACTTCCTGAAAGTTTACTAGGTTCCCTTCTCTCTTTTCTTTCTAATCTTGTCCTCATATTTTAGTCAATTCCTGAATTGGTAGCGAGTTTTTCCCATTTTGTTTTGAGTTTCTTTCATCCAAAACATAGATTAGTTTCAAGTTTAAGTGGCCTACCTAGGTCCGTCTTAGAGAGAGTTAAAGTTGACCTTGCTTGTGTTCTGGCAAGGTCTTGGTATTGACCATACAAAATTCGTATACGTCCTGTTTCTAATCTTGAGTGATGTTTTAGCTTCAGTCTCGTCTGTCCAGCTCAAATATGTTTACAAGTCATCTGGTATGAAGCAAGCGGTTAACACTACAAAACAAGCCAGCTTGATTGAGTCTTTAACCAGTTCAGAGGTAAGAATTAATGCATTGGAAATGTTTGCCATGTAATATCAATAAGTACTTTTTGGAGATCTGTTATTGAAGCATTCCCTTGATAGATTGTTATTTTGATATTCCAGAGTGCTCTGGAAATGGATGTACATCACAAAAGCCCCGAGCAGAAGGTCAGAGGATGCTTAATATTTTGTTGTACTTTTTACATCACTTTTCATATTAAAGGAGCAGTGTCATGAAATTCAGCCAAATTAAGAAATTACAAAATGCCCGTTGAATTAAGAGAAACATAAACATAACCGCTTAAAACTATCAAGGAAGGTTAAAATGACGTAACATAAACAACAGATGCCACGGATGGGCAAAACTGAAGAAGACTGGAACGGATTGAAATTAGGGTTTTTGAAAATTGTTCAGCCTAACAGTTTTTTAAAGTTGATCCCTGCTGCTTGCAGCCTCAAAAATAATGCTCAGGAGACATTTGTTTTTCTCGGATCTCTGATTTTGTCGTTTATATGTAATTTCTTTGCTTACTTTAAGTTCCATAGCGATTGAGGGCGAGTAATTGACAAAATTAAACAAAATGAACTGGACTGCCTTGACACAACAGCCCCTCTATCGACGTACCTCGCCTCTTCGCGCTCCGTTATGCATAACGCCTCTACACCTCTCCGACAACCTGCCCTATCCCTCGCACACGCTCTTGCCTGATCCCAAGACCCCCACCCCGTCTCTGCTGTCTCTACAAAGTGAATGTCATCAGTATGGTTACCTGGGCAGCCTCTTCATTCCTCCTACTGCTGTCTCGAAAAAGTTGTCTAGTTTCACTCATGATATGGGACATAAACCCATCGTCCAACTCCCAACCTGGAGGACCAGGTGTTGCAGTATGGTCTTTCACCCAAAACCTGCCCAGCACGTTTGAACCCACCGGGGACCAAGGTCCCAACTGGTATAGCATCCAAATTTCCCAACCACATAAAGGCGTAACACTAAGGGAGAACTTTTCAGATAAACTGAATTTTAAATGAATTTTAACTAAATAATGCGGTGTAATGCTCAATTCATTGCAATTCCATTCAATTCAATTCTTTATTCACACTATATAAGATATTTACGTAAGTGTACATAGTAGGAAAATAAAGTAGCTACAAATAATAATTAACTAAAAGACATTAAGTTCATTTGTGTACGGTGTCCAAAGTAGCAAGAGCTTTCTTGTTGGACACCGTCATGTTGAAATAATTGGCAGCAGTAAAGAGAGGAGTAAAATCTCAAATAATATCAGTGATAGAAGAAGACAGGACTTCCATTCTTTCTTAAACTTATGATATGGCAGACACTTGACACCAGGCGGTACAGTCTCCCAGATTTTTGGAGCGGAGAATTTAAAGGACGTCTTACCTAAGTTGGTGGATACTCTTGGCCTAAAATAGTTCAGATTACTGACAAATCTTGTATTATGATTACGTATACGCGATGCTGGAGTCAGGACATCAAGGAAAATATCTGGAATGCTATCAGTCTCATTTCTCATTCTATGTATAAAGCAACATATTTTTAATTTATATATATATTATCTAATTTAAGGATTGTTAGGAGTTTGAAATAGGGAGCAGCACTCTCTCTAGGATGTACAAAGAAGATGGTGCGGAGACATTTATTATGTTTAATACGAAGACAATCTAATCTGGTTTTGCTGGCACAACCCCAAGCAAGAATACCGTAACTCAAATAGGGATATATTAAAGCATAATAAATTTGTTTCAGTATATTCAGTATATTGCTCTCCATCTAATAATTATTTTTATGCTCAAATTTTTACAGGGAACAACCCTGTCAGAAGCTATAATGAAACGAAAGGAAGGAAATATTCAGCCAAAGCCTAAGAGAGTTTTAAAGGTAGAATACAGATAACAGTAAGCTGAATTCAAAGAGATCAAATTTTTAAAATGATCGTAACTTTTCCAAAGATTTAATCCACAGCAAGGTTTCAAAGGGCAGCTTTCTGGGGTGAAAGCTGGTTTTTTTTCATAACGACAGGTTTAAAAAGATCGAATGAAGTTTTTACCGATGTTGTTCAGCAATTTATTAGGTAGCCTTGATTGTGATCCACTATTTTGGTACTTTCAGGTTGTAAAAGTCAAAGAAGGGACATCAAAACAGGTATCCAAACTTACTGCTTTCCTTTCTTTCTTTGAAAATAGCATTTGTATGTTCAAGGTATGATATAAGGAGCAAAGTTGCCAGAGGATATTTTAGTAGTTCACCCAGTTCTGTGTAGTGTTTATCACCATTACGTACTAAATTTGCTTCTTTCAGCCTGAAATTCAAGAGGTGTCATCTAAGTTGCAGAAATTTAATGATGCTAAGGAGTATGTAATGAAGGTAAATAACAAAAACAAAATGAAATTATGGAGAAGTCAGATCCAAGTGTTTTTTATAAAGCGAAATGTATTTTGTTCATCACTGTTGGTAACCATTCCTAAAAGAGACCGCGTCCATGGCTGACAATCCCTGCAACCCGGCTACTGACTCGTACCCAGTCTTGTAAGCGGTCACGGAACGGTCGCCGGTGACTATTACGGTATCTGGTGCGAAGGGGACGATGGGAAGGTAAATGGGGGATACTCTCCTCTTTCCTCCTTCCCATCGTCCCTCGCGCTTCTCTTGATCGCGCTTCTCTCGTTAATAGGGACCTTAAGATCCGACAACGGCGATGGCGACGTCAACGAGAACGTCAAAAAAAGCAATAGGTTTAGTAAGCAAAACAACAACTTCGCACGTGTGCCACACCTTTTTGTACATTTCTTTGCCATCACTTCACGACTACGAGGTGGAAATGCCTAACTTCACGTTTTGTGGAGGACCTAAACAAGCGACGAAGAAATTTACTTTTTCTCTCTGAACTTGGATAAGGCTCTTAGGAGAGTTCCTATACTTATGAAAAAATAAGTGATATGGAATAATTGCGATGAAGATTGAAAAACGCCGTGCAAGAGAGAAACCTCTGCTTGCAGGGTAACTGGAAAGCCAAACGCTATAAAAATGCACGTAGGCCCGAAAGCACGTGGGTGAATTCTCTCTGTCGCGTAAAATTTACGTACGTACACACGTCAAAATCACGCAGTAGTGGAACTCAACCTTTTTTGTGACAGTAACCGCATACAAACCTCCCCACCACATACAGTAAAGATTATAGTGCATGCTCTTTGGTTTTACTTCGTAAATTTCTTTTAACTGCATTTCTGCAAGTCTAGGTGGAGTTGCAAGGGAATTCCTTTGTGTTTAGCTAGGCAGTATCGTTCATCAAACGTGACGAGTTATTTTCTGAGCTTGATAAGACATCGTTCTTATTAGCTTGTATCCTTAATTTGCGATGTCTGATGTTAATGTGCTGTTCCATGTTTGCAGGTCAGGAAAAGCCTTGGTGATGACCACTACAGAAAATTCTCGGAGATTTTAGTTAACTATAAACGGGTTTGTTCACTTGCGATCGCTATCGTCATTTTTTTTCTTTTTATGTACAAGGTTACAGCTAAGATGGGAAAACTTTTCATTGTTGTTTATTGTACGTTCTTACTTTTTTCAGAGGCGTGAATTAGGTGCTTTAATAGAAGGCCTTAAGAAGCTCTTCTTAAGAAGTGAAGAACAGTATCCGTTATTCCTAGGTATGCTTAGTTCATTGTCTTGTGGGATCTTGGAAATGCAATTTGAAGAATCAATACTTCCTTTACTTTTTGGTTGTGATTTAAGAGTTACATTTAACAAATCGACCACAATTTTGCATGGTTCACACTCTTATAGACCATAGAAGTGACGTCACAAAATGTTCAAAATTCAAGTCCAACCACGAGCCGCAGGCGAGTGGTGTCACTGCAAAGTTTTGAACATTTTATGGCATCATTTCTACGGTCTATAAGAGTGTAGACCATGGAAAATTGTGGTCGATTTTGTTTTTTTACAATAACTTTTTTTTTTTACGAAAAACCAAACAACAAAACAACTGGCACTGCGTGACATGTTACGTCATTTCCATGGTCTATACTCTCATAGACCAAAGCTCTCGACCAATCAGCGCGCGAGGATTCGCTCAGTTATTGTAAAATTTGCTATTGTCCATCGTCTTGATAACAAAGTGAGAGAGAGTTTCGTTTTTGAAAACAGGTTTTTCAAGTTATATCCGAGATCCAGCAGACAAAATGCGGTTCTTTCAAGCATATACTGATATCACAGGCTTAGGTAAGAAAATGCAAATGGTCAGATACAGATCTGTTGAGGCTATTTTATAGTTGTAACACTATGTGCCCAAACTACAGTTTTTCGTAGGTTTGTGACCTCTGCTTCCTCACCATACCCCAAATATTCTCTCCGTTTATAGAACTACTAAACTTTTAACCTTTATCTCTCATTACCTAGACCTGAGAATAGTTACACCTCTGATAAGAGATGAATCCTGTTGTGTTGACCTTTGTGCGTAAGTCGTCAGTCTATCAGTAAAAGGGTGATCATTCCTTTTATGCACCGCTAAGTAATTAATTTGGCATTTGTTTATGCAAGAATAGTTTCTTGCTCATTATGTTACTGTAATTTCTTTAAGTGAAATTTCCTTACTACGTATTTTCCAGTTGTTCCATCGGATTATATTGCTGGTCTTAAGGTCGAAAAGGGAGAACAGTCTTGCCTAGAAAATGGTATGCTTATTAACACATCGAACTTGTACATACTTTTCCTTTAATATACCTGGTAGACATGTATAGTGAAGAAATAAACGCAAAATAAGATCGTCTATGATCTTTTTCGCGTTTATTTATGTGAATATCTTTCACCTTTATGATAACCATATTTGGTAGACGGTGGATTGCCGCCTTTCTGACAGTTGAAAGAGACTGGGGAGGCATAAAATTTCTGTGCAGATTCCTGTTCAGTGAAAGCCATTTTGTGAGGTCATGATTTTGGATTTTAGTGAAAAAAGTGTATATGTTGTGGTTCAGTTTTGTCCTTGGTTTAAATTTTACTTTTCGTTTTTCTTACACTCATTATTCTAAAATTACCATACCCTAAAACAAACGAAAAGGAAATTTAAACTAATGATAACTTTAAGGAATTAAACCACAACATCTACAGGGAAGCATAACTAATGTAATAAATATTAAGTAACTGTTATAGAGTGTTTTCACATGACGTCACGGCGGCCATATTGGTGTCCCAAAACAATGAAACGGCGGCCATGTTGGTGTCCCAAACGGGTCCTGTGGGAGTTGAACTCTTTTCTTATGCAAACGCTTTCTTTTGTTCCAGTAAATTTGCATAGATGCTAGCCACGTGAGTGAAAACACTCTATAAGGAGGTGTCAGTTGGCGGAATTTTAATAGCAAAATTAAAGAAAATTTTACCAGAAACGCTTTTCTCGCGGAACCTCTGAAAGCCTGGGGGAGGGAGGAACAGTAGGAAACAAAGAGGGAAAAACAGAAAAGGAGGGAAAAATAGTAACGCAAGCAGGTTATGGGCTCCTGACACAAGTTTGCAAGGACTAGACTGAGGAACCAAAAGCATAACAGGCACCAGAAATATCACCAAGCAAATACTTGAGAAGGACGTTAGTATACTGGACCAACTGTTTGAAAGAGAAAAATTTCTTTAATAAACAGGTTGAAATTCAAAATTTGGAATTTGGAGCGCAAGCGTCCAAAACATCTTTGGTCACGGTTTTGTTGGTAGAGAACTCGGATTCAACAGTCATGTGTGAAGGCAACTCGAGATTCCACGGCGCTAAACGACCCACGCGCATCACTAGTTTACAGTTTGGCATGTTCAGTGCATTTTGTGACTTAGCTTCTGTCGTTTATATTGTGTTCAGATGATTGCAAAGTTGGAAAGAAAAGGAAAACCGGGGAAAGTGACTGTTTAGTTTCAGCGGAACCTTCGGAGAAGAAAACGAAAACCCAAGGAAAAGACAAGGTGATATAACTAACTCTTATTTTAGGTTTAGAAGGGCTAAGTGGTTAATTCTCACAGGGAATAAACACTTACAGGAGCTAAAGCGATTAAAAATATAAAGTCAATAAAAACGGTCAAGCTCAGCTTTGAATTTAGCAATGTTTGGCTGGTCCAATGTGACAGCAGGGAGAGTATTCCATAGATTGACAGTGGAGGGGAAAAGTTCCCATATAGTAGTTGGTATTGCAGGCGATACTTCTTTGGGTGGTAATTTCTAGTGTTCTTACATGGCATGGCGATTTCTCTTGGGATTTCTGTAATACCCAGGGGAAATTGGAAACAAAAGTATGATGAAATCTTTTTTTTGGGGGGGGGGGAGCGGGGGTAAACAAGGTACATTATGGTCTATGTGAAAATGATGAATCGTGTGAACACCTACCTGATATGTGACTCTCCACTCTGGAGATCGGCGCGGCGCGGCTTCACTTCGTTACAGAAATCGCGCCAAAATCACCGTTCTTATGAGTCAACGGATGCCATCCGATGTGGTCTTCGTGCCAACACAAAGGCTATCCGGTATGGATTGAACGTAGCGTCGGACGGGAGTTGCAAGGGCTCGTTTGTTACTAGAGACTCTTCAAGTATGGTTCTCGAAATTGAGGATTATGTTCTGTTTGTTTTCTTGTATAAGGTCGGCAAGCCAGGATGTAGTTCAGCCAACCTGGTGGACCCTAACTCGCAAGTTCTTAATGTTACCAATCATCTTAATTGTAATAGCTTATAACAGAGCAAATCTAGCCATCAATTGCTGGTGTTGGTATCATCATGCACTGGTGTTGGTGTGACTATTTAACAAGCACGAAGCGTTCGCCATATCGCTTTTGATGTGTTCGCGTGAGGTCTGGGTCAAAGTGGCCTATGATTGTTCCACGGCCTTGTACTTATGCTTGTGCTTATATCGACCCCGTTTTCACTAGTCAAAGCTACGACAAAAGCATAAGCACAAACACAAGAAGAACGAACTTGTCCATTTTTCTTGTGCTTATGCTCATGCTTATGTCGCGGTAGTTTTCACTTGTTTACACATGTGCTTGTGTGTGTGCTTATGCTTATGCGCTAGTGAATAACGAGGCTTAATACAACAACGACAACAACAACAACTTTATTTCACATTAAAAAGTTTAGAAGTCATTAAAAAGGGAACAAGAAGTATTTCACAGCACAACCCGCAGTTAGCTTAAGCTAATTGAGGCGAGAGCGAAGTGGACCAAAAGAAAAAAAACAAATATGAGACTGAAAAACTAGCCATAATAATATTACAAAGAGAACAAAATTTGATTCCCTGCACGGCCTAAATTATACGCTAAGAATTGCTAAACTTAAATAAATACTCTACATCTAATAACAGCCCGGTGTATAGTAAATTTGGTACTGCCTGGGAAAGTTAATATGATAGTGACAGTATATGATAAGGAAATTATACTTTACTGTTTGGAGATTTGCCACGTTTATGTGATTATTTGCTATGCAGGGTGACCAAATTTTACTTGTCCTAGAAAAAAGAGGCATGCATTACAACATTAAAATTAGATTTAGCTATTTTTTGGAATAAATATTTATTGAAATAGCAGTTGTTATACTTTAGTTTATCAGAGACTGACTATTTAAGAGATTGTTTCATGGTCTCTCTCTATATCAAATATTGATAAATGTGAAATAGATATTAATTATATTAATCTATAGTCAAGTTTACATAATGTTCAAACAGCTTTTTTCTGGCATCCTTGATTAAGAGTGCACGTGAAACATTGCTCTTCAAATCAACGCCAGTCTTGATTTGAATTTGATAAAAATGTACTTTAACAGCAAATATATTCAAATCCATTGTCAAGTTTTTCCATCCAGCGCGGAAACATCTCTTTTATCGCCGATATGTTTTTAGACTGTTCAGTTTTTCCTTACGATCGTAACGATCGCGTTTCACGTGCGCCATAAATCTTAACATGCACCAGCTCTAATTTTTTATATTCTTCCTTGACGATGATCGCTTTAAGTCTGGTGCTATGACGGCTCTTACCCTGATATGAGTACAGGAAGTCATTAACAATGGCCACGACAGGACTAGATAATACTCCTTTTCACATCACCTGAATACCAAAAGCTTTTTTTTTTTTCTATCAGCTAGAGATAAAAAACGTCATCCCCTTTTCATTGCGGATCTGTTTTCACCGTCTAATTTTTAAATTGGGCCTTGACGATGATCGCTTTAAAATCTGCACTCCAGTGACAGTGTTGAACCAGGACTAGATAACTCCTTGGGACCACCCTGCCTTACAAAAAATATATCTGTTTTCACCATCTTTTGCAGATAAAGTGTTGAACCAGAGTGGGACCTTCTCTAAAAAAAGTCTTTTGCAGATATAACTGTCCCTCAGTGTGTTATCACTCACTGATTCTACTTAGTCAGGGTTTTCACATAAGTGAAAGAAGCCCTGACCTCCAAGAACATAAATTCGATAAACATAAGCACATTAAGGCCCGGTTCAGACGCCGAACTTTTCGTGAGCCGAACCTTATTCGAACTAAGGCCGACCCAAACTATTTAGACTGCCTGACTTGATTTAGACGCCGCTCTTAATTCCAGCCGAAGTAAATTCAAAAGGAGAAAAATGCTCGTTTTGGTCAAACTGCTTACAAAATACGTTATTATAATTTATGTATTAGGTTCGGTACATGAAAAGTTCGGCGTCTGAATCAAAGCCGTTCCAAAGTCGTTCCACAGTTGAAATTCCCGGCCCGGCTAGGCGTAAAGAACGGCTGAGCCGTTCCAAATTGAAACAGGCGTTATTAATTGACTCAGACGCCGAACTTTTCATGTACTTAATTCAATGTATTAGGTTCGGCTCATGAAAAGTACGGCGTCTGAACCGGGCCTAAGACTGAAAATCAGACGCTTTTACCAGAGGCATTGCGAAACGCAATTCTAAAACTTAGTGAACAACAATACCAAGCAGCTTCTTTTTTTTTCTATCAGCTACAGATAAAAAGCAGGCTTCATCTTTTCTTCTTCCTTTTCATCAGGAGCTTTTTTGACTTACAATTAAAAACTGCCCGCTACTAAACCTGAAACTCCACCACTGGCGCGGCCTCATGAATATCGAACTGTAGACATACTTACGTTTCCTGACTCCATGGAAACTTTTCAGCAGCTGCCGTTGTCGGCCCAATTAAGCCCACGCGGTTTTAGAGAACAAGTAGAATGTTACCAGGACTGAACCTTCGTGGAGGGAACCCCAAGGTCACCGTCAACCACCCTCTGAAAAAATTCAGTTACTTCGTGAAATAGCATTTTGTTTGACAAGTCCGTAAGTAGGTAATACAAGTGTGAACTATGGATCATTATAAACCAACATTAACACTTACTTCTCACTTAGGGCAAAATGTCGGCTTAGGGGAGGGGTAAGTGGGCAGTTTCCCAGAAACGTATAATATTAAACTCAAACAATAACAGAAACTTCAAACAACCAAGAGAGAAACCCCCTTTTGTTAACACAAACCTCCAGACAACTTGGTAATTTACAACAAAACGCTTCCAAAAAGGGAGAGTGGCCTCGAATGTGTGGATCAATGGAAAGTGTTTATTGCTGATTTTCACAGCACTTATGATGTTTTGTGAGTGCTTTACGGGCGAATAAACGTAGCCACTAACTGTAAAATCCCCCACGGGTGTAAAATCAACAAGAAATTCAAGAAAGTGCGAATCAAGACTGCTGGAGCGCTCTCAGGCTCTCTGCCTCTAAATCATGTCTGAATTCTCACTATCCACATTTTACCACCCGAACGGCTAAGAAACAAGCAGACGCACAATTATCCCGGAACAGTTATCCATTTTTTTTGGTTTTCTTGTGCTCACACTCGTCTCCGTTGAAGTGTTCACTTGACACGACACTCTTGTTCTGTCGCTTGTGTTTGAGTCATGCTCCTTTTCCTTTTTAAAAAGGCTTTGTTCGATCAGACAATCGTGACGATGAGTAGTCCACTTCTGTTCACTCCCTTAGTACCTCTCTACCCGCACATACCGACTGCAGTCACGTTTGAGTCCCACATTCGCACATAGAAACACGTTTAGTTCTGTCTTCTGTTCGTCGTTTTATCGTATTTGTGGTTGCTATTGCCGGATGCCCGCCTTGTCATATAAGACACTGAGTAAGATGCTTATCGAACAAGGTAACAGAAGAGAGACAGACGAAATGTTATTCAGTAGCTATTCAGTTTAAGCCAGGCCAAACGATAAACAAGAAGTGCAGCACCTGTTATAACTCCCCTCGATTTCTGGCTAGATTGGTTTCAAAAGTATGTCTTGCATGTCCAGTTTTTTGCGATCGGGGATCGAAATATCATCCTCTCTAATTCTCATTAAACACTTAAACCTTTTGATAGGACAAACCCCTCTTTGTTCCTTCATCGTAGTCAACGGCTCTTAAGTAAATTATGATCGTTAAGTTTGTTCCTTTAATTTAATGACCGGAATTACTTTAACGCTTACAGTTCACGAAATTAACACGCATTATATTAGCTCCGAATAGACTGTCCACAGTTCCTATAAAACTGCGATAATGGACACCAATACGACCAATACAACTCGGTCTTTTCATTTTGGTTCGAATGCTAAATTTTGATATGCAGAATACACTTAAAGACATCCTTGTCAGCAGCTTCAAATTGAAAGTACACAAATTTACAGTACTTGTGGTATAATGGGAATATTTGATAATTAATAGCCTCTGCTATTTGTACTTATATGAGGATCTTTCTGGAGAAGCTCAAGTGAGCTTGCTAACATCCCCAAATGTTGTAATACCCAGATATTTAGCAGATATTTTTATGGTAAGTTACAAAGATTGAAATAAAAAAATCCATTGAAACCGTAAAAAATAGTCATAAATAACATTGAACTGGTTGCTACGGACCTTAAGTGGAAGACGCATAAACGGATGCATTAAAGAGAAGGATTCATGTCAGCTTTGTTATGAAATACGCGAACGTAAGTGAATTATTATTGGATCAGGAGCGGATAAATATATAACATATCTAATCTTCCCTTACATACCCAAGCTCAAAAAGTATCGGTCAGAGGTGAAAATGTAAGTCAAACCAAGTTTTTTGGCGATTTTTTCAAGCACGAAATAAATTTTGCCCGGTCCTTCTGTGACAATATCATGGCTTAAAAACAACTCTGTCTGACGTTAGGTTTGTTTTGGCTCTCACAAAGGAAACTGATTATTTTGAGAGACTCGTCACTTTTTTGCAATATATTTCGTGACCCTGTTTTGTCCCACGCTATACCGGTGTTTTTTTAAAACTTAACTCTTCAACCCCGCGGTTAATGCGGTTTCACGATATGAAACCGGCAACAGCAAGTGTTTTTCATTCTATCAAACTATCTTGAATTTCGTGTTTAAATTATTTGAAAGTTTGTAAAGCACTTAAAACGCGAGTTTGGCTTGCCTATTGGTTCAGTTAACGTCACCTAGACTCCACCTAGTTAAATGTCCAATGCATTAATTTCATTATTTGTTTTTTAAGACTATTAAGGAAGCAATTGAAATTTTTTTTGTCAATTTAAAGGTATTTTGTTTCAATATTTTTTTTATCAACTTTGTCGGCATAGCTTGAATAGATTTCCTTAAAAATTATACGTTGTAATTCACATTACATAAATCTTCTTGCGGATTTCTTGGGTATTAGCGAGGTTTTTGCATGTTTTGTTAAATTCCCAAATTGTTTATGCAACCTTCGAAAGGAGCTTTCAGAAGGTCAAAAACGTTTTGAAGCTAGGGAACTGTTACTTTGGTTTCATGATGTATAACCAATAGTTTTAGTTAGGTTAATGTAAACGGTTTTTATGTCCAATTACCCCGACCCGTATTTAAGACCTCTATCTGCTTATTTTTCTACTGTGTTCACTTGCCACCCTAGTCGGGGGGAACTTAAATTTAAAGAGAAAACATCTTTGCAATGCTTCGACATCCGTCAAATTTACTGTGTCACTTAAGTGGATTTAAAAAAAAGGGAATATGTATTGAGAAAAAAACGAAACTGCACGTTTGTGATCACGACGTATCGGACACGAAATTTCCTGATTATATAACCATGCTTTCTTACGTAATCGACATCCGATTTGACATTTTAAGTTTCTAAATTCTTTTAAACTTATTTTTTTGTTTAGCTACCAGCTACACTGTTCGAGACAGAATAGATATTTGATGCTGCACTTGAAAAAGATCTGGGAATTGAAAGATACTGTACGTAAGCCCTATTTTGGCGTTCTGCTGGATGCATGGGCCTAGAGGTCAACATGTCTTAAAAATCTTTACCAAAAATCACGTTCATCTAAGCGCAGTAACATTGT